AAACTGTTCATGATAAAAAGTTAAATGAAGAAGAAACAAGGCTCAGGATGTTTTTAACAAAACCCCGTCAGAGAAAAGTCTCAGTAAAGTCCAGTCCAGTCCGGTTTGGCTCTGAGCCTCAGCCTCTCCAAGTCCTGCTCTGGTTCCCAGCGCCGCGGGCCCCTGGCCCCTCCCCCTCCTGTCCTGGGCCCTTAAACACTAATTAGCTCTAAGTCTTCCTGTGTCCGCTCTGACCTGTGTTTGTTCACTTTGATTCAGAAAATCAGGAGATGAAAGAACTGAAGAACAGAAAAGAAAGAAATACATTTAAACACTTTTAAAACCGTTTTCACAGAAGTCTTGAACTGGAGCAGCTCCGGTTCTGTACGAGCCGGGTCTGTGCACGCTCTGCACCTGCTCCATTCTGTGGCTTTTCCTGAGACTGGTCCTCAAAGAGACCGGAGCAGAAAGAACAGGAAGTGTCTGAGAGCGAGGCCCAGACTCAAGGACCTCCCACAGAGCGGGTCAGAACCAAACCCTTCTGTAGAAGAACAAAGTGTCAGAACCAAACCTTCTGTAGAAGAACAAAGTGTCAGAACCAAACCTTCTGTAGAAGAACAAAGTGTCAGAACCAAACCTTCTGTAGAAGAACAAAGTGTCAGAACCAAACCTTCTGTAGAAGAACAAAGTGTCAGAACCAAACCTTCTGTAGATGTTTGTCTCTAAGAATCTATTTTTATTTAAAGGAGACGTGTTATCGTCACACCTGACTTTGGGTCAGTTTTAGACATTTACTGATATCAGGAACTTCTGGAACAAACACAGACTCCTCCTCTCTCAAAGCTCCAGTCCCAGTTTCCTGTGACACTGTGATGTCACTATGACATCACTATGACATCACTATGACATCACACTCATAGAAGTTTCCTGCCTGTACTGCCCAATCAGGGTCTCAGGGTCTCAGTCTCAGGGTCTCAGTCTCAGTGTCTCAGTCTCAGGGTCTCAGTCTCAGGGTCTCAGGGTCTCAGGGTCTCAGTCTCAGGGTCTCAGTCTCAGGGTCTCAGTCTCAGGGTCTCAGTCTCAGGGTCTCAGTCTCAGTGTCTCAGTCTCAGGGTCTCGGTCTCTGGGTCTCTGGGTCTCTGGGTCTCAGGGTCTCAGTGTCTCAGGGTCTCAGTGTCTCAGTGTCTCAGGGTCTCTGGGTCTCAGTGTCTCAGGGTCTCTGGGTCTCAGGGTCTCAGGGTCTCAGTGTCTCAGGGTCTCTGGGTCTCTGGGTCTCAGGGTCTCAGGGTCTCAGTCTCAGGGTCTCAGTCTCAGGGGTTTTTTTTGATACTTTAAAAACCAATGAAAGAAAGAGACAAATAAAAAAGTGGATCCTTTAGAAAAGTCCAAACTGAAGGATTGTGTTTCTGTTTGAGCACATTCCAGAGAGTTCTAGAATCAGACGTTTCCTGTGGTTCATTCTTTCATTTAACAAAATGATACTTCAAATGATTACTTCCAACATTCTATTCTAACCGGACTCTTTAAACACACTTCCAACAAAGGTCATTTCTTTCCAACATCTATAAGAAGTTACTGATGATTAACTTCTGATAAATATGAGGAAAGTTTGGAGAAAGACGTTTGCTTAAGAATCCTGACGACATCAGAAGCTGCAGAATGGATTCTATGATGAGTTTATAGATTCTTTATAGATAGAGTCGTATAATTGCACTTTGGTCATAGAGAAGCAACTTGTGGCGGACACGCTGCAGCCAGAACTTTCACTTCTCCACATTCCACCCACTTCTGGGCCATATTTAAAACTAACACAGAGTCATAAACTCATCATAGAATCCATAACACTTTCCCAAACACGTCCCGAAAGTCTTCCTGTGTCCGCTCTGACCTGTGTTTGTTCACTTTGATTCAGAAAATCAGGAGATGAAAGAACTGAAGAACAGAAAAGAAAGAAATACATTTAAACACTTTTAAAACCGTTTTCACAGAAGTCTTGAACTGGAGCAGCTCCGGTTCTGTACGAGCCGGGTCTGTGCACGCTCTGCACCTGCTCCATTCTGTGGCTTTTCCTGAGACTGGTCCTCAAAGAGACCGGAGCAGAAAGAACAGGAAGTGTCTGAGAGCGAGGCCCAGACTCAAGGACCTCCCACAGAGCGGGTCAGAACCAAACCCTTCTGTAGAAGAACAAAGTGTCAGAACCAAACCTTCTGTAGAAGAACAAAGTGTCAGAACCAAACCTTCTGTAGAAGAACAAAGTGTCAGAACCAAACCTTCTGTAGAAGAACAAAGTGTCAGAACCAAACCTTCTGTAGAAGAACAAAGTGTCAGAACCAAACCTTCTGTAGATGTTTGTCTCTAAGAATCTATTTTTATTTAAAGGAGACGTGTTATCGTCACACCTGACTTTGGGTCAGTTTTAGACATTTACTGATGTCAGGAACTTCTGGAACAAACACAGACTCCTCCTCTCTCAAAGCTCCAGTCCCAGTTTCCTGTGACACTGTGATGTCACTATGACATCACTATGACATCACTATGACATCACACTCATAGAAGTTTCCTGCCTGTACTGCCCAATCAGGGTCTCAGGGTCTCAGTCTCAGGGTCTCATGGTCTCAGGGTCTCAGTCTCAGGGTCTCAGTCTCAGGGTCTCAGTCTCAGTGTCTCAGTCTCAGGGTCTCAGTCTCAGGGTCTCAGGGTCTCAGGGTCTCAGTCTCAGTGTCTCAGTCTCAGGGTCTCAGTCTCAGGGTCTCAGTCTCAGGGTCTCAGTCTCAGTGTCTCAGTCTCAGGGTCTCGGTCTCTGGGTCTCTGGGTCTCTGGGTCTCAGGGTCTCAGTGTCTCAGGGTCTCAGTGTCTCAGTGTCTCAGGGTCTCTGGGTCTCAGTGTCTCAGGGTCTCTGGGTCTCTGGGTCTCAGGGTCTCAGTGTCTCAGGGTCTCAGTGTCTCAGTGTCTCAGGGTCTCTGGGTCTCAGTGTCTCAGGGTCTCTGGGTCTCAGGGTCTCAGGGTCTCAGTGTCTCAGTGTCTCAGGGTCTCAGGGTCTCAGTGTCTCAGGGTCTCTGGGTCTCTGGGTCTCAGGGTCTCAGGGTCTCAGTCTCAGGGTCTCAGTCTCAGGGTCTCAGTCTCAGGGGTTTTTTTTGATACTTTAAAAACCAATGAAAGAAAGAGACAAATAAAAAAGTGGATCCTTTAGAAAAGTCCAAACTGAAGGATTGTGTTTCTGTTTGAGCACATTCCAGAGAGTTCTAGAATCAGACGTTTCCTGTGGTTCATTCTTTCATTTAACAAAATGATACTTCAAATGATTACTTCCAACATTCTATTCTAACCGGACTCTTTAAACACACTTCCAACAAAGGTCATTTCTTTCCAACATCTATAAGAAGTTACTGATGATTAACTTCTGATAAATATGAGGAAAGTTTGGAGAAAGACGTTTGCTTAAGAATCCTGACGACATCAGAAGCTGCAGAATGGATTCTATGATGAGTTTATAGATTCTTTATAGATAGAGTCGTATAATTGCACTTTGGTCGTAGAGAAGCAACTTGTGGCGGACACGCTGCAGCCAGAACTTTCACTTCTCCACATTCCACCCACTTCTGGGCCATATTTAAAACTAACACAGAGTCATAAACTCATCATAGAATCCATAACACTTTCCCAAACACGTCCCGAAACTCTCATTGGTCTGAAATATTCAATACTTTGTCAAAAACTCGACAATTCACTTTCCACCAACACAGAAGAGAAAAGAGTTTGTGCCTGTGCTGCAAGATAATGATAAAATATGAGGAAATATCTTCATAATTTGACACATTCTGACTTAAACCAGATTCTCCAACAGGACAAAGACTGATTCAAAAGGAGACACTTCTGTATCTTTTTAGAACAAGATCATTCTGTTTTGTCCTTTTGGAGAGTCTGGTTTAAAGCTCAGTCAGAACGTGTCAGATTAAAGCACATTTTGTCAGATTTGATCATTTTTGACTTATTTTTGCAGCTGTTTAACTCTAACAAAGTTCATGTATAGAAGCCGGACCCGCTGCTGTGGTTCTGCAGCAGGAGGCAGCTGTGGCGGCGCTGTCCGTGCACCTTTCTCACACTCTTTGGCTCCTGTTTTACGGGTGTTATGTGAAAAATGTGTCACGTACGTGTCTCGTGAGGCCGAGGCTATGTCTATTTTCCCACCATGGGTTTGCAGCCCTGGGTTTGGATCTCCCACAGTCCTCTCCACCGACCACACCACTGCATTAAGACGTCTTCAAAGCAGCTGTTCATAGACTGTCAATCATTTCAATAATCTATGATAATGAAACTGCTGATTAACGTGTGGTCGCTGTGAATCTGGAAACAAACTCCAGAGTTATTTAAGATCATTTACACTGTTTAATGTTGATTCAAGCGCACTGTCCTGTTTTAAATAAATTCATAAAAATCATCAAAAACTTAAATATTAATACATTTTCACTAAATCTAAAAAGACAGGAAACATATCACTGGGAAACAAAAACACATTTGTTGAAAATAGTCCAGGGTTTTTCAGCTGAATCAGACTCATGTTGATCTGAAAATAACCTTGGTTTTGCTCAAAAACAAAGGATGTTTTGCTACAGAAATATTTGTTTAAATCGATCTTGCGTAAAAAACAAATGTCTGTGGATCATCAGCTGAGAAACCCTTGACGTTTTTTCTGTTTTCCTCAAGAAATAAAAGTCAACGTATCCAAAGTCGTTCAGTTTTTATTTCCTCCTAACGTAGACGTACATAATCCGTAACACCGACATTAGTCTGAAGCAGCTGAGAAACCCCTGACCATATTTGGGCTGTCAACTTGTGTTATTTGTTTCTCTCGTTAAAAGAGTGTTATTGGTGATTCCCCAACGGTAAAAGTGAAAATCATACGTCTTTAGTCGTTATAAAAGATGAAAAGACTGAAGTCATTTACATAATTGCTCTGCTCTCACTACATTCATCACATTGACCTGGTCTTACCGCACCATCGTACTCACTTCATCTCCTACCGACGTCTGGTACCCCTGGTATCGCCGACGTCTGGTACCCCTGGTATCGCCGACGTCTGGTACCCCTGGTATCGCCGACGTCTGGTACCCCTGGTATCGCCGACGTCTGGTACCCCTGGTATCGCCGACGTCTGGTACCCCTGGTATCGGGGAGGACCATGTTCTCTTTTAAATGTTAATAAAGCGCTCGGAATTTCACTCTGAACCAGAGCAGAGAAAATGGTCAGAACCAAACGGACATCACAGACATGTGAAACATGTGACATCACAGACATGTTTCACATGTGACATCACAGACATGTGAAACATGTGACATCACAGACATGTTTCACATGTGACATCACAGACATGTGAAACATGTGACATCACAGACAGAAGTGAAACATGTGACATCACAGACATGTTTCACATGTGACATCACAGACATGTGACATCACAGACAGAAGTGAAACATGTGACATCACAGACATGTGAAACATGTGACATCACAGACATGTGAAACATGTGACATCACAGACAGAAGTGAAACATGTGACATCACAGACATGTGAAACATGTGACATCACAGACATGTGAAACATGTGACATCACAGGCAGAAGTGAAACATGTGACATCACAGACATGTGAAACATGTGACATCACAGACATGTGAAACATGTGACATCACAGACATGTTTCACATGTGACATCACAGACATGTGAAACATGTGACATCACAGACAGAAGTGAAACATGTGACATCACAGACATGTGAAACATGTGACATCACAGACATGTGAAACATGTGACATCACAGACAGAAGTGAAACATGTGACATCACAGACATGTGAAACATGTGACATCACAGACATGTGAAACATGTGACATCACAGGCAGAAGTGAAACATGTGACATCACAGACATGTGAAACATGTGACATCACAGACATGTGAAACATGTGACATCACAGACAGAAGTGAAACATGTGACATCACAGACATGTGAAACATGTGACATCACAGACATGTGAAACATGTGACATCACAGACATGTGAAACATGTGACATCACAGGCAGAAGTGAAACATGTGACATCACAGGCATGTGAAACATGTGACATCACAGACATGTGAAACATGTGACATCACAGACATGTGAAACATGCGACATCACAGACATGTAAAACATGTGACATCACAGACATGTGAAACATGTGACATCACAGACAGAAGTGAAACATGTGACATCACAGACAGAAGTGAAACATGTGACATCACAGACATGTGAAACATGTGACATCACAGACAGAAGTGAAACATGTGACATCACAGACATGTGAAACATGTGACATCACAGACAGAAGTGAAACATGTGACATCACAGGCAGAAGTGAAACATGTGACATCACTGACAGAAGTGAAACATGTGACATCACAGACATGTGAAACATGTGACATCACAGACATGTGAAACATGTGACATCACAGGCAGAAGTGAAACATGTGACATCACAGACAGAAGTGAAACATGTGACATCACAGACATGTGAAACATGTGACATCACAGGCAGAAGTGAAACATGTGACATCACAGACAGAAGTGAAACATGTGACATCACTGACATGTGAAACATGTGACATCACAGACATGTGAAACATGCGACATCACAGACATGTGAAACATGTGACATCACAGACATGTGAAACATGTGACATCACAGACAGAAGTGAAACATGTGACATCACAGACAGAAGTGAAACATGTGACATCACAGGCAGAAGTGAAACATGTGACATCACAGACATGTGAAACATGTGACATCACAGACAGAAGTGAAACATGTGACATCACAGACATGTGAAACATGTGACATCACAGACATGTGAAACATGTGACATCACAGACATGTGAAACATGTGACATCACAGACAGAAGTGAAACATGTGACATCACAGACATGTGAAACATGTGACATCACTGACAGAAGTGAAACATGTGACATCACAGACATGTGAAACATGTGACATCACTGACAGAAGTGAAACATGTGACATCACTGACAGAAGTGAAACATGTGACATCACTGACAGAAGTGAAACATGTGACATCACTGACAGAAGTGAAACATGTGACATCACTGACAGAAGTGAAACATGTGACATCACTGACAGAAGTGAAACATGTGACATCACAGACAGAAGTGAAACATGTGACATCACAGACAGAAGTGAAACATGTGACATCACAGACATGTGAAACATGTGACATCACAGACATGTGAAACATGTGACATCACAGACATGTGAAACATGTGACATCACAGACAGAAGTGAAACATGTGACATCACAGGCAGAAGTGAAACATGTGACATCACAGACAGAAGTGAAACATGTGACATCACAGGCAGAAGTTAAACATGTGACATCACTGACAGAAGTGAAACATGTGACATCACAGACATGTGAAACATGTGACATCACAGACAGAAGTGAAACATGTGACATCACAGACATGTGAAACATGTGACATCACAGACATGTGAAACATGTGACATCACAGACAGAAGTGAAACATGTGACATCACAGACATGTGAAACATGTGACATCACAGACATGTGAAACATGTGACATCACAGACATGTGAAACATGTGACATCACAGGCAGAAGTGAAACATGTGACATCACAGACATGTGAAACATGTGACATCACAGGCAGAAGTGAAACATGTGACATCACTGACAGAAGTGAAACATGTGACATCACTGACAGAAGTGAAACATGTGACATCACTGACAGAAGTGAAACATGTGACATCACAGACAGAAAGGAAACATGTGACATCACAGACATGTGAAACATGTGACATCACAGGCAGAAGTGAAACATGTGACATCACAGACAGAAGTGAAACATGTGACATCACAGACAGAAGTGAAACATGTGACATCACAGGCAGAAGTGAAACATGTGACATCACAGACATGTGAAACATGTGACATCACAGACATGTGAAACATGTGACATCACAGACATGTGAAACATGTGACATCACAGACATGTGAAACATGTGACATCACAGACAGAAGTGAAACATGTGACATCACAGACAGAAGTGAAACATGTGACATCACAGGCAGAAGTGAAACATGTGACATCACTGACAGAAGTGAAACATGTGACATCACAGACATGTGAAACATGTGACATCACAGACAGAAGTGAAACATGTGACATCACAGACATGTGAAACATGTGACATCACAGACATGTGAAACATGTGACATCACAGACAGAAGTGAAACATGTGACATCACAGACATGTGAAACATGTGACATCACAGACATGTGAAACATGTGACATCACAGACATGTGAAACATGTGACATCACAGACATGTGAAACATGTGACATCACAGGCAGAAGTGAAACATGTGACATCACAGACATGTGAAACATGTGACATCACAGGCAGAAGTGAAACATGTGACATCACTGACAAAAGTGAAACATGTGACATCACAGACATGTGAAACATGTGACATCACAGACAGAAGTGAAACATGTGACATCACAGACAGAAGTGAAACATGTGACATCACAGACATGTGAAACATGTGACATCACAGACATGTGAAACATGTGACATCACAGACATGTGAAACATGTGACATCACAGACAGAAGTGAAACATGTGACATCACAGACATGTGAAACATGTGACATCACAGACATGTGAAACATGTGACATCACAGACATGTGAAACATGTGACATCACAGACATGTGAAACATGTGACATCACAGACATGTGAAACATGTGACATCACAGACATGTGAAACATGTGAAAGGTTAAAATACAGTCTGTGCAGGAAATAATTATGTATAATAAAAAGTAACTGCAGGTTTTCAGTCCAAGTGCAAGTGACTTAAAGCGACAGTAGCTCAGCTGTAGAGCACTGGTCTTTGAGCCAGAAGGTTGTGAGGTCGAGCCCACCTCAAAACTGTCACCACCGACTCCCTCTGATGTCTGCAGTCGTTGTGTCCTTGGGCAAGACACTTAACCTCTGGGAACAGCAGGTGCCACAGTGGGGCGGCTGTAAAGTGCCAAACTGTGGTTGTGTCCTTAGGCAAGACACTTCCCCCACATTAGAATGAGTCTGGTGTGTGTGTGAGTGGTTGGTGGGGGTGGGGGGGGCCGATGGCACAGACTGGTTGCCTCGCTTCTGTCAGTGTGCCCCAGGGCAGCTGTGGCTACAGTAGTTTATCACCACCGTGTTTGGAGAGAGAGAATAATGAAGTGAAGAGACTTTGAGAGTCCAGTGTTGTACAAACCTATGCATTATTATTATTATTATTATTATTATTATTATTATTATTATTATTATTATTATTATTATTATTATTATTATTATTATTATTATTATTATTATTAATGGACTTTATCAACATTTCTGGACTTTGGTTTCTGCTCCTTTTGTGTTTCTTCTGTTGTGATTTTGGGCGATACAAAAGTAAAGTAAGTTGAGTTGTGGGCGACTGAAATGAACCCATGACTGTGTGGATGTATTTGGGGCGTGTCCGGGCCTCGGCTCTGGGTCGGCTCCATCGCGGACCGGCACCGCTCGGGTCCGTCCCATAGAGGAGCAGTTCACGGGACAATGAGGTCATCAGTCAAACAGCAGCAGCAGCAGCAACACAAAGCAGGCTCTGTGCAAGCAACACAAGCTCAGATTGAGACACAAGCGACGCACAAACGCACAAACGCCAACATCACAGATATGTTCAGATGAAGGCGTCGCTCTGTGGAGGAAGTGGACACACACATCATCAAACTGTATCAACACAACGCTTTCATACACACGCAACACAAAACACATACAGGCCACATCACACACGGCAACACAAAACACACACAGGCATCACATCACACACAACACAAAACACACACAGGCATCATACACACAACACAAAACACATACAGGCCACATCACACACGGCAACACAAAACACACACAGGCATCATACACGGCAACACAAAACACACACAGACATCACATCACACACAACACAAAACACACACACAGGCATCACATCACACACAACACAAAACACACACAGGCCACATCACACACGGCAACACAAAACACATACAGGCATCACACACGGCAACACAAAACACACACAGGCATCACACACGGCAACACAAAACACACACAGGCATCATACACAGCAACACAAAACACACACAGGCATCACACACAGCAACACAAAACACACACAGACATCACACACAGCAACACAAAACACACACAGACATCACACACGGCAACACAAAACACACACATACATCACACACGGCAACACAAAACACACACAGCAACACATCAGATCTTTTTACTTCACGTTTATGACTTTGAAGAAAAAGAAAGAACAACAATAATTACTTTGAAGTTTCTGCTTCTTTTGTTTTCACAGGAGTCAGTTTTATCTTTTACTCCGAGAACAGTCATTTTGACTATTTTCATTTCTTTCTAAAGTTGACATTTTTGAGAAGAGCAGGTGTGAGTAAAGTAATGAATGTGGTGAAAAAATACACACTTTTTTGAGGGACTTTCTCAGAATATCATGGGTTTGAAAATGTTCTGGTAGTTTCAGAATCGGAGAGTCCTGGTGTTAAATCAGCTTGTTCTGAGAGGAAAGTGAAAAAGAGAGGACCCCCCTGTCTCAGCCAATCAGCTCGCAGCCTCAGACACAAACGTCTCTCACAAACAGAACAAACATGTTTTTAACGTTGGCTCTGATTTGACTCTTTCTGTTTCTCTGCTCCACACTGAAAACAGTAAAACTATTCACTAAAACTAACTCTGACAAAAGTAAAACTTTTCACTAAAACTAACTCTGACAAAAGTAAAACTTTTCACTGAAACTAACTCTGACAAAAGTAAAACTTTTCACTGAAACTAACTCTGACAAAAGTAAATCTTTTCACTAAAACTAACTCTGACAAAAGTAAAACTTTTCACTGAAACTAACTCTGACAAAAGTAAATCTTTTCACTAAAACTAACTCTGACAAAAGTAAAACTTTTCACTGAAACTAACTCTGACAAAAGTAAATCTTTTCACTAAAACTAACTCTGACAAAAGTAAAACTTTTCACTGAAACTAACTCTGACAAAAGTAAATCTTTTCACTGAAACTAACTCTGACAAAAGTAAATCTTTTCACTAAAACTAACTCTGACAAAAGTAAATCTTTTCACTAAAACTAACTCTGACAAAAGTAAAACTTTTCACTGAAACTAACTCTGACAAAAGTAAAACTTTTCACTGAAACTAACTCTGACAAAAGTAAATCTTTTCACTGAAACTAACTCTGACAAAAGTAAATCTTTTCACTAAAACTAACTCTGACAAAAGTAAAACTTTTCACTGAAACTAACTCTGACAAAAGTAAATCTTTTCACTAAAACTAACTCTGACAAAAGTAAATCTTTTCACTAAAACTAACTCTGACAAAAGTAAATCTTTTCACTGAAACTAACTCTGACAAAAGTAAATCTTTTCACTAAAACTAACTCTGACAAAAGTAAATCTTTTCACTGAAACTAACTCTGACAAAAGTAAATCTTTTCACTGAAACTAACTCTGACAAAAGTAAAACTTTTCACTGAAACAGAAATGATGCTTGTTTTTTAACGGTGTTTGTTTCTTGGATGAAGTTTGTCACGAGATTATTTTACTAGTTTTAAGATAATAATAATTTATAATCTTAGAGAAAGTCTGAGCAGTGAGATTTTAAGCTTGTTGTTTTTTCTTATTTCCAACTTTTCTTGTTTATATAAAATAAGTTTGTGATGCTGTATTTTCAGAAAACATAAAAAATGTTTAAGAAATAAGTAAATAATATTTAAAATGTGTTTAAACTAGAATCAAGTCGTTTGGGGACAGTTTTATTTTATTCGTTTCAGAAATCTTAAGTCATATTTTCTTCTACTACAGATCATTTTTATTATTTTAGGCAGTATTTCACTTATTTTCTTATTTTCATAAAGAGATTATCTCCAGTGCAGTCCTAACGAGCTGCAAATATGTGGACGACTGCGAGGACGAGACTGAGGGACTTTTGATGATATGAAAAGCGTCCAGTGGGCGGAGAGAGAATGGCGTACCAGTGTCTGTTGTCTACTGTTAGCATCGGCCGCACACACTCCCACACAACGACACACAACGACACACACAAAGTCACCACTGTCCTTTCTCTGTCACAACCGAGGCACGTCACAAAGACTCCACATTAGCTTCATTCAGAGCTTTATCCTTTCTCTCCAAAAACACTGTGGTCACAAACTACTGTACCTGTGTCCCTCTGTACCTGTGTCCCTCTGTGTCTATATGTACCTGTGTCCCTCTGTACCTGTGTCTATATGTACCTGTGTCCCTCTGTACCTGTGTCCCTCTGTACCTGTGTCCCTCTGTGTCTATATGTACCTGTGTCCCTCTGTACCTGTGTCTATATGTACCTGTGTCCCTCTGTACCTGTGTCCCTCTGTGTCTATATGTACCTGTGTCCCTCTGTACCTGTGTCCCTCTGTGTCTATATGTACCTGTGTCCCTCTGTACCTGTGTCCCTCTGTACCTGTGTCTATATGTACCTGTGTCCCTCTGTACCTGTGTCCCTCTGTGTCTATATGTACCTGTGTCCCTCTGTGTCTATATGTACCTGTGCTCCTCTGTGTGTCTATATGTACCTGTGCTCCTCTGTGTGTCTATATGTACCTGTGCTCCTCTGGTCCATTGTATTGGTTTTGTTCACCTGGACGTCTGTTTTATTATTAAACCATTATGTTTTGGTCTCCTCCCTCTCCTGGTCCTCGTCCAATCACGACGCAGAGAAGACCGCATCCCATTCTTATTTCTATCGGTCCATTCCAAATGATTTACCTTTTTTTCTGAGGCCACAGCGTCATAAGAACACAGGATCCCACAGGGTCCCACAGGGTCCCACAGGGTCCCACAGGATCCCACAGGATCCCACAGGGTCCCACAGGGTCCCACAGGGTCCCACAGGATCCCACAGGGTCCCACAGGGTCCCACAGGATCCCACAGGATCCCACAGGGTCCCACAGGATCCCACAGGATCCCACAGGGTCCCACAGGATCCCAAAGGATCCCACAGGGTCCCACAGGATCCCACAGGGTCCCACAGGGTCCCAAAGGATCCCACAGGGTCCCACAGGGTCCCACAGGATCCCACAGGGTCCCACAGGGTCCCACAGGATCCCACAGGGTCCCACAGGGTCCCACAGGATCCCACAGGGTCCCACAGGGTCCCACAGGATCCCACAGGGTCCCACAGGATCCCACAGGGTCCCACAGGATTGGGGGAAACGTCCCTAAAAATGCTAAATATTTAAAACCGTTTCATCATAATCTCTACTAAAGATATTATTATTCCACATTCCCCAAAATGAAACAGCAGTAAATAAAAAGTCTCATTCACATTGTTTAAAAATAAAACTTATATTTTATTGTTCTCACTTGTGCAGAAACATGTCATTTCTGTAAAACAGCAGTAGGTTTGAGGCTCAGAACCTAAGATCCTCTGATCTACACCCAAAACATGATCAAAATAAAACACAAAATGCTCAAATTTGGCAAAAATGATCTTAATCTGACACATTCTGACTGAGCCTAAACCAGATTCTCAGTCGGACAAAACTAAAGGAGCAAAAGTCTCTGAACGAGGAATGGTCAGAATGTGCTCAAGTTAAGATAAAAACCACTCTTTTCAAACATTTATTTCCTCATATTTGATCATTTTTTGCAGTGTAAGAGGCCGGACCAACATCACAGTTCTGTTTTTTCTTGTGGAGACACTTTTCCTTTGGCGGCTTTCTTAGATTTCTCTTTTGTTGATTTTGAAGCCGTTTTTTCTCCTTTGGTTGTCGCTGTTTCTTTGGTTTTGGTTTTCCTCTTTTCCGCTGCTTTGTTCTTCACTTTGTCTTTGTCGCCCGTCGTCTTCACTTTGTCGCCCGTCGTCTTCACTTTGTCGCCCGTCGTCTTCACTTTGTCTTTGTCGCCCGTCGTCTTCACTTTGTCGCCCGTCGTCTTCACTCTGTCTTTGCTCTCACTGCTGTCTGCTTTGTCCTCCTTCTTCTTCTTCTTCTTCTTCTCCTCCGTTGCTCGTGGGTCCTGTGGGTGTGTGGGGCCTTCAGCTGTGAGCGCTGCAGCCTCAGTGTGTGCTGCCTCCTGGTGGTCAGAGCTGGGACTGTCCGGTGTCTGCGGTTCAGGGTCTTTTTGGATGAACTCTGCGTCGACAGGTGTGGAGAACATCTGCAGCATGTCCCCGGCCTGGATCCGCTCCTGACAACAACACAATCACGTGAATGTTTAGCTGGTTTTGGTTCATTTCGACGGCTCTTGTGCAAAATGACTTTTAAAGACATTGTTCCGTCATCACAAACATGGCCCCTCCCACCACCACCAACCATTCACACACACACCAGACTCATTCTAATGTGGGGGAAGTATCTTGCCTAAGGACACAACCACAGTTTGGCACTTTACAGCCGCAGCCGCCCCACTGTGGCACCTGCTGTTCCCAGAGGTCTCCCATCACAGCACTAACCATACCCTGCCCTGCTTAGCCTCAGAGGTCTGATTAGTTTTTTTACCAAAATTAGTTCATTCATTTAATTAAGTGAAATGACGTAATTTACAATTCAATTTCTAATTTGAGAAAAAACCCAAAACTCAGCTCCTCCCTCTGGTGGCAGCACAGGGAGCTACATGTGGATGGCATTTTTGATCCATGACACATTTGTCGCCAAATATACTGAAGAGTTTAACATTCTAAAATATGAAAGAACATTGTTAAAAGTCAGGTTATTTTTTTTTATTAGCACAACATGTTCTGAGGCTCTAAGGCAGGCATGTCCAAACCAAGGCCCGCGGGCCAAATGCGGCCCACTGTTTCATTTTATGTGGCCCGGGCCTTGCTAATACAAACTATTCATTGAGGCACTTTCACAGAGTCATCCAGCTAACTTCAGCTCCATCAACATAGTCATGCTGCACCTCGTCGTAAAGCTCTGACCCCATTTATTTTCTATTTTGTCTCAAAATGGCACCAGTGCTTTGCCGTGTTAACAAATATGAGTACATCAAACCCAAGTTGACGCCCAAAGCCTCTGGAAAAGTCTCGTGAACTAAAGTGGCCCTCCTACTGATAAGTTTGGACACCCCTGCTGTAAGGACAGAGATGATCCAGGACACTCCACATTTCCTGTGTGTGAACTGAATCTCTGATCTTCTGTTGGAGAATTGACAGTCTGCGTGCAGTCTGCGTGCAGTCTGCGTGCAGTCTGCGTACAGTCTGCGTACAGTCTGCGTACAGTCTGCGTACAGTCTGCGTACAGTCCGCGTACAGTACGCGTACAGTCCGCGTACAGTCCGCGTGCAGTCCGCGTGCAGTCAGCGTGCAGTCCGCGTGCAGTCCGCGTACAGTCTGCGTACAGTCCGCGTACAGTCAGCGTGCAGTCTGCGTACAGTCTGCGTGCAGTCTGCGTACAGTCTGTGTACAGTCGCTCAGACGAACCTTCTCTTGGTGAGCAGGATCCAGGGTGAACCACAGAGCCACCGCACACCTCTGACCTTTGGTCACCGCTCGGACTCCGTGGGGGTTCTCTCTCCCGGAGCCAAAGCCGACCACACGACCGCACCGGGGCCTCACCTCCGCCTAGGGGCCAAAGCACCAGTATTAAGATGATTTATTTATCTTAAAGAACCATGAGACGATTAACAATATGGAATTAGAATTATTCTGTTTTCTGTTGTTCTTCAGAAAAAAACACACACACACTGTACACACACACAGAGACACACTGTACACACAGAGACACACACACACACACATACATGCAAACACGGAGACACACTGTACACACAGAGACACACACACACACACACACACATACATGCAAACACAGAGACACACTGTACACACAGAGACACACACACACACACCCACACACAGACACATACTGTACACACACAGAGACACATTGTACACACACACAGAGACACACTGTACACACATACAGACACACACACACACACACACACACTGTATACACCCACACACATGTGTGTGTGTGTACAGTGTGTCTCTGTGTTTGCATGTGTGTGTGCGTGTGTCTCTGTGTGTGTGTGTACAGTGTGTCTCTGTGTGTGTGTATGTGTACAGTGTGTACAGTGTGTCTCTGTGTGTGGGTGTGTGTGTCTCTGTGTGTACAGTGTGTCTCTATGTGTGGGTGTGTGTGTGTGTGTGTCTCTGTGTGTACAGTGTGTCTCTGTGTGTGGGTGTGTGTGTGTGTGTCTCTGTGTGTACAGTGTGTCTCTGTGTTTGCATGTATGTGTGTGTGTGTTAGTCTGACTTCTTCACTAACTTTTACTTTGTAGTGTTTCTTTCTGTAGAACTACAATATATATTATTTATGAAACTAAAAGTGAGGTACAGTAGCTTTAATGTGATCTAAAATAGTTAGAGTTATTGTGTTTATACCGTGACAGTTTTGCCGTCCAGCTCCGTGAAGATGAAGTCTCCGCCCTCAAAGTCGTCGTTAAGATACAGGATGGCACTGAAACAGAACCACAACCGACAACACACAACAGTTAATACACAGTTTGAAAACGGGTTGGAAAAAGCAGACGCTATTTGGACACACACACGCACACACACACACACACACACACACACTGAGAGACACACACACACACACTCAGAGACACACACACCCACACACACACGCACCCACGTGCACGAACACACGCACACACACACACACACGCACACACACAAGCACCCACGTGCACGCACACACACACGCCATGCACACACATGCACACACACACACACACTCAGAGAGACACAAACACACGCACCCACGTGGACGCACACACATACAGAATGTATGTTCTTTAAAATCACATTACAATCAACAATTTTCAAATTTGGAAGAAAACAAATCCAACCCAACAGCTCCCTCTGGTGGTGGTACAGGGACAGCACATGTGTTACACTGATGCATGTGTTTGACTCTTCTCTAAATGAAGTTTATTTCTATTCTATTATGTGAAATTATCTCGATCCTGGTCTGGTCCTGGTCTGGTCCTGGTCTGGTCCTGGTCTGGTCCTGGTCTGGTCCTGGTCTGGTCCTGGTCTGGTCCTGGTCTGGTTCTGGTCTGGTTCTGGTCTGGTCCTGGTCTGGTCCTGGTCTGGCCCTGGTCTGGCTCTGGTCTGGCCCTGGTCTGGTCCTGTTCTGGTCCTGTTCTGGGCCTGGTCTGGTCCTGGTCTGGTTCTGATCTGGCCCTAGTCTGGTTCTGGTCTGGCCCTGGTCTGGTCCAGAGCTCTCTCCGCTCGGAGCCAGTGCTAGTTACCATAGCAACAAGTTCTTAGCAGCATTAGTTTTGTTAAATTTCATGTATATTAAAAGGTTTTAGAAATGATCAAAGCCGGATTATTCACTACTCATTAATACGTGAAAAACTAAGACTGTAGTCGCGGTGAGTGTAGGCGCTAAAGTGCTTCTGACCTGTAGTCGCGGTGAGTGTAGGTGCTAAAGTGCTTCTGACCTGTAGTCGCGGTGAGTGTAGGTGCTAAAGTGCTTCTGACCTGTAGTCGCAGTGAGTGTAGGTGCTAAAGTGCTTCTGACCTGTAGTCGCGGTGAGTGTAGGTGCTAAAGTGCTTCTGACCTGTAGTCGCGGTGAGTGTAGGTGCTAAAGTGCTTCAGACCTGTAGTCGCAGGGAGTGTAGGTGCTAAAGTGCTTCTGTAGGTGCTAAAGTGCTTCTGACCTGTGGTCGCGGTGAGTGTAGGTGCTAAAGTGCTTCTGACCTGTAGTCGCGGTGAGTGTAGGTGCTAAAGTGCTTCTGTAGGTGCTAAAGTGCTTCAGACCTGTAGTCGCAGTGAGTGTAGGTGCTAAAGTGCTTCTGACCTGTAGTCGCGGTGAGTGTAGGTGCTAAAGTGCTTCTGTAGGTGCTAAAGTGCTTCAGACCTGTAGTCGCGGTGAGTGTAGGTGCTAAAGTGCTTCTGTAGGTGCTAAAGTGCTTCAGACCTGTAGTCGCGAGTGAGTGTAGGTGCTAAAGTGCTTCTGTAGGTGCTAAAGTGCTTCAGACCTGTAGTCGCGGTGAGTGTAGGTGCTAAAGTGCTTCTGTAGGTGCTAAAGTGCTTCAGACCTGTGGTCGCGGTGAGTGTAGGTGCTAAAGTGCTTCTGACCTGTAGTCGCGGTGAGTGTAGGTGCTAAAGTGCTTCTGTAGGTGCTAAAGTGCTTCAGACCTGTAGTCGCAGTGAGTGTAGGTGCTAAAGTGCTTCTGACCTGTAGTCGCGGTGAGTGTAGGTGCTAAAGTGCTTCTGTAGGTGCTAAAGTGCTTCAGACCTGTAGTCGCGGTGAGTGTAGGTGCTAAAGTGCTTCTGTAGGTGCTAAAGTGCTTCAGACCTGTAGTCGCGAGTGAGTGTAGGTGCTAAAGTGCTTCTGTAGGTGCTAAAGTGCTTCAGACCTGTAGTCGCGGTGAGTGTAGGTGCTAAAGTGCTTCTGTAGGTGCTAAAGTGCTTCAGACCTGTAGTCGCGGTGAGTGTAGGTGCTAAAGTGCTTCTGTAGGTGCTAAAGTGCTTCAGACCTGTAGTCGCGGTGAGTGTAGGTGCTAAAGTGCTTCTGTAGGTGCTAAAGTGCTTCAGACCTGTAGTCGCGAGTGAGTGTAGGTGCTAAAGTGCTTCTGTAGGTGCTAAAGTGCTTCAGACCTGTAGTCGGGGTGAGTGTAGGTGCTAAAGTGCTTCTGTAGGTGCTAAAGTGCTTCAGACCTGTAGTCGCGGTGAGTGTAGGCTGGTGGTTCTTTGATGCACTCGTTGATCTCAGAGACCAGGACACAGTTGTCCACGTGCACAGGGTGGCTCAGGTCTTTGCGGTCGTCCTGGTCGTCTGAAAACAAGCACCAAGCACTTTAAAATCAGGCAGCTGCACTTTACTGTGGTTCCAGACGGAGATTAGTGAGAAGTCCACAGTGAGACCCAGGAACAAATCAACCTAAAGAAGCACAGAGACAAATGTCGCAGTGAAATCAAAGGACAATTAAAGTGCTACGTGTTTAACGCTTAAACGTCCAAACCAGTGGATCAGGACCAGGAAGTCACGAACCAGGAATTTATAATAATAACAATAAGGTGCTAGAATGAGTCTGGTGTGTGTGTGAATGGTTGGTGGTGGTGGGAGGGGCTTCTGTCAGTGTGCCCCAGGGCAGCTGTGGCTACAGTAGTTTATCATCACTCTGTTTTGAGACCGGGTGTGTGTAGTTATAGTTACCATCGACAGACCAGGTGTGTGTAGTTATAGTTACCATCGACAGACCAGGTGTGTGTAGTTACCATCGACAGACCAGGTGTGTGTAGTTACCATCGACAGACCAGGTGTGTGTAGTTATAGTTACCATCGACAGACCAGGTGTGTGTAGTTACCATCGACAGACCAGGTGTGTGTAGTTACCATCGACAGACCAGGTGTGTGTAGTTACCATCGACAGACCAGGTGTGTGTAGTTACCATCGACAGCCGTGCGACACACCAGGTGTGTGTAGGAGAAGTACAGTGTGGTCTTCAGATGGAAGTACGTCTCCAAAGACAAACGCACTTTTTCACTGAGGTCGAAAAACAACCGAGCACTTTTCAGAGGCACTTTTCCCTCCTGCCCCAACTGCGGGTCACACAGACGCACAATCAGAGACACACACAGACGCACAATCAGAGACACACAATCAGAGACTCACACAGACGCACAATCAGAGACACAATCAGAGACACACACAGACGCACAATCAGAGACACACACAGACACACAATCAGAGATACACAATCAGAGACACACACAGACACACAATCAGAGATACACAATCAGAGACACACACAGACACACAATCAGAGATACACAATCAGAGACACACACAGACGCACAATCAGAGATACACAATCAGAGACACACACAGACGCACAATCAGAGACTCACACAGACGCACAATCAGAGATACACACAGACGCACAATCAGAGACAAACACAAAAGCACAATCAGAGATACACACAGACACACAATCAGAGATACACACAGACGCAAAATCAGAGACACACACTGACGCACAATCAGAGACTCACACAGACGCACAATCAGAGACACACAATCAGAGATACACAGACGCACAATCAGAGACACACACAGACACACACAGACACACAATCAGAGACACACAATCAGAGATACACACAGACACACAATCAGAGATACACACAGACGCACAATCAGAAATACACACAGACGCACAATCAGAGACACACAATCAGAGACACACACACAGACGCACACTCAGACACAGACGCACACTCAGACACAGACGCACACTCAGACACACACTCAGAGACAGGCGCACACTCAGAGAGAGACACACACTCAGACGCACACACACACTCAGACACAGACGCACACTCAGACACAGACGCACACTCAGAGACAGACGCACACTCAGAGACAGACGCACACTCAGACAGAGTGAGAACACACACTTTTACGGCCTTCATCACGGTCACTCCCTGGAACGTCTCGCTGGGCGTGTGTGGAGAAGGGCGCCCCCTGTAGCCGTCTCCCTTTAGTGCAGCCGCCTGGAAACACACATTAAAATCATTCTAAGTGACAAACAACCACAACAACAGCAACAAGACGACAACCACAAGACAACAACAAGACAACAACAAGACAACAACAAGACAACAACAACCACAACAACAAGACAACAACACACACAGTCTGAATGAAATTTATTACAATACTTTTGTACATGTTGTCTTTTGTATACATACATACATATATTTAATAGGGCTGTCAAACAATTAATTTTTTTAATCAAGTTAATTACAGCTTAAAAAATAATTAATCGTAATTAATCGCATTTCAAACTATTGGCAAAATTATGCCATATTTTTCTGTAAATTGTTGTTTGAATGGAAAGATAAATGACAGCTTAGTGAACATATGAACTGTATTTGTTATAACAATAAATCCATATAAAATGGAATTAACATTATTAACATTCTGTCTTTCTGTTTAGACTCAGACCAAACCATTGTTTGTTACAGATGAGGGACATTTCAAAACAGTCTGAAGCAGAATGTCATTAAATCTGTTTGATTTGCTCACAACATTACTTTTTTGGCACAACTAACATGAACTGATGGTCGAAAGGAAAATTAGGTACCTCAGCTTTAATTTAGCGAGTGTGCTTCGGGAGAAGACACGGAGGAGACCGAGGCTCCTCCAGCTTCAGCGCTGTACATATTGTGTGCATCGGTTACGCAAAGACACGTACGCACACTAGAGAATAGTTCTGTAATAGTTCTGTGCGTGGTCTTGGATATGATCCTATTATGCAGCGCCGTTCGCCGTCATCACAGCCGCTGGAAGTGGGAACGGTCCAGAGCGCTGTGGCGCCCGCAGCTCATCATGCAGAGCTCATACAGGAAACAACAAGTGCCCCGCGGTCACTCCCAGAGACCTGCTCTGTCCCCGTCTTACACACACATGTGTCCGCCGCATTCTGAGTGTTATTATGGGACGCATGGGCATGCGTCAAATGCGTTAATTTTTTAACGCGATTAATGAAAAAAATTAATTAACGTGCGTTAACGCGATAATTTTGACAGCCCTAATATTTAAGTCTTATTTGTATTGACATGTCTTTTTGTATTCTATATTCTGTTATTTACAATATATAAAATACAGATTCAGTTTATTTGCAGTAAAACCACATTGGAATAACTGTGCAAGACTTCCCCACAGTGCAGCCGTCAGAGCAGATAACAATATTAAATTCAAATATATACACATAACGCTTGTATATATTAGATACAACATCTACTGTGCAGTAATGGCTCTGTTATGACACAAAAACACTAAAATACTACTTCTATAAACCAGACTCTCCAACAGGACAAAGACATTTAGTTTGATTACAAGAACTGTTGCTTTACTTCCTCATTCCAAAGGAGATATTTCTGCATCTGTTTAAAACAAGATCATTTTACTTTGTCCCGTTGAAGAATCTTGTTTTACGGCTCAGTCAGATTAAGACACATTTTGCCAAATTTGAGTAATTTCTGACTTTTTTAAATGCTTTTTTAAAGTGTTTTATTGTTTTAGTGCATAAATGTTTTAAATTGATTGTATGTAATTTTATTGTGAAGCACTTTGTTCGCCTTGAGTGTTGTAAAGAGCTCTAGAGTTTCCTGTCCTTACATTTGAGAGTCGCTGCAGCTCTCTGCACTCATCGTCCGTCACCACTGCGTCCAGAAGAACTCTCTCTGAGCCGTTCAGCTGTTTGGCCGTCATACTGATCCTGATGTTGTCAAACAGCAGAGCACCAGCAGCACCAGTACCAGAACCGGAACCAGCAGCAGTACCAGTACCAGCAGCACTAGCACTAGCATCAGCAGCACCAGCAACAGCCAATTCTAAATCAGGGAATATTTATTTAAGATAAAAAATCCACATGTTTAAACTGAGTTGTGTTGTGTCAGTGTCAGACTCTCACCATCGGGGGGCGCCACCATCTTGGTCAGGTCTGAGGAGTCCTTCTTCTTCTCCTCCACCAGAGTCTCAATCTCTTTCATGAGGTTTCCAATTTCTTCTGTGATTCTCGCCGCAGTCTCTTTGTCGGCCCTGAGAGATCAACCAACAGACTTTACCCATAAATAATGTTGTTTTTGGTTCAACGCAGAATTATGACAAAGACTGCAAAAAAAGATCCCTGTGAGTCACTATTTGACTCTTTGGGCTGAGAGCTGATTGGCTGAGAGAGAGTGGTCTTTTACTTTTTCTGTCTGAAAAAGTTGATCTAAAGAAGTGACAGAAGCCTGGGTTCGATTCCACCTCCAGGCCTTTCTGAGTTGAGTTTGCATGTTCTCCCTCTGTCCGCATCCTCCAGATGCTCCGGTTTCCCCTACCTCTCACTGATCTCTCTCTTTGGTCTCTCTCTCTGATCCCTCTCTGGTCTCTCTCTGGTCTCTCTCTCTGGTCTGTCTCTGGTCTCTCTCTCTGGTCCCTCTCTGGTCTCTCTCTGGTCTCTCTCTGGTCTCTCTCTGGTCTCTCTCTCTCTCTCTCTCTGGTCTGTCTTTGGTCTCTCTCTCTGATCCCTCTCTGGTCTCTCTCTGGTCTCTCTCTGGTCTCTCTCTGGTCTCTCTCTCTCTCTCTCTGGTCTGTCTCTGGTCTCTCTCTCTGGTCCCTCTCTGGTCTCTCTCTGGTCTCTCTCTGGTCTCTCTCTGGTCTCTCTCTCTCTCTCTCTGGTCTGTCTCTGGTCTCTCTCTCTGGTCCCTCTCTGGTCTCTCTCTGGTCTCTCTCTGGTCTCTCTCTGGTCTCTCTCTGGTCTCGCTCTGGTCTCTCTCTGGTCTCTCTCTGGTCTCTCTCTGGTCTCTGGTCTCTCTCTCTGGTCCCTCTCTGTCTCTCTCTGGTTTCTCTCTGGTCTCTCTCTGGTCTCTCTCTGGTCCCTCTCTGGTCTCTCTCTGGTCCCCTCTCTGCTCTCTCTCTGGTGTCTCTCTCTCTCTCTCTGGTCTCTCTCTGGTCTCTCTCTGGTCCCTCTCTGGTCTCTCTCTAGTCCCTCTCTCTGGTCTCTCTCTCCAGTCTCTCTCTGGTCTCTCTCCGGTCTCTCTCTGGTCTCTCTCTGCTCTCTCTCTGGTCTCTCTCTGGTCTCTCTCTCTGGTCTCTCTCTGGTCTCTCTCTCTGGGTCTCTCTCTCTCTCTGTCTCTCTCTCTCTCTGGTCTCTCTCTCTGGTGTCTCTCTCTCTCTGGTCTCTCTCTCTGGTGTCTCTCTCTCTCTGGTGTCTCTCTCTGGTGTCTCTCTCTCTCTCTGGTCTCTCTCTCTGGTGTCTCTCTCTCTCTCTGGTCTCTCTCTCTGGTGTCTCTCTCTCTCTGGTCTCTCTCTCTGGTGTCTCTCTCTCTCTCTGGTCTCTCTCTCTGGTATCTCTCTCTCTCTCTGGTCTCTCTCTCTGGTGTCTCTCTCTCTCTCTGGTCTCTCTCTCTGGTGTCTCTCTCTCTCTGGTCTCTCTCTCTCTCTGGTCTCTCTCTCTGGTCTCTCTCTGGTCTCTCTCTCTCTGGTCTCTCTCTCTGGTGTCTCTCTCTCTCTCTGGTCTCTCTCTCTGGTGTCTCTCTCGTCTCTGGTCTCTCTCTCTCTTAACGAGCGACAGGTGCATTGTGATTTGAAAGTTAGGTACCCCAGCTTTAACCTCACAGTATTTAGTATTTGAACCCTGACCCATAGTTACAGACCAACAATATCAAATAGTGGATTTTATTAAATTAGCTTTTGTTAATTTAATAAACTTTTCATCATCTGCTTGAACCTTGATTCATTATTTATATAATAATAAATATATGATTGTATTATTGTCATTCTCTTTACGACGTTTTGGGCGAGTTTAGAAGATTTTTATATTTCTATATTTGCACAAAGGTTTGATCAAAACTCTTACTTCTGTTTATCTCTCAGCTTTTGGGGCATTACGTCTTCAGGAGTCCAAGAATCCTGCAAAACAGATCAAAGTCAAATAAAAAGGTCAGACACAATAATTAATATTATTATTGGTGTTTAATTAATGAAAAATGTGATGAAACATAAGTCAATTTTGATAAATCTGTCTTAATTCAAGCACATTCTGACTGGGCAAGATTTGGTCTCTCTCTCGGGTCTCGCTCTGGTCTCGCTCTGGTCTCTCACTGGTCTCGCTCTGGTCTCTCTCTGGTCTCTCTCTGGTCTCTCTCTCTGGTCTCGCTCTGGTCTCTCTCTGGTCTCTCTCTGGTCTCGCTCTGGTCTCTCTCAGAGTGTATTAAATAACTCACAGGATCCACGAAGGCGATTCCAAAAGCTTCAAAGGCAAAGTACAGAAGCTGCTTCTCGAGGATGGACTGTTGTATGTACTGCCTCACCACCTACACACACAGCAACACAAACAAGTACACACACAGTAACACAAACAGGTATACACCCAGCAACACAAACATGTCTACACACACAGCAAACAAACAGGTATACACACAGCAACACAAACAGGTACACACACAGCAACACAAACAGGTAGACACACAGCAACACAAACACGTCTACACACAGCAACACAAACATGTCTACACACACATCAACACAAACAGGTATACACACAGCAACACAAACATGTCTACACACACAGCAACACAAACAGGTCTACACACAGCAACACAAACATGTCTACACACACAGCAACACAAACATGTCTACACACACATCAACACAAACAGGTCTACACACACAGCAACACAAACAGGTAGACACACAGCAACACAAACAGGTACACACACAGCAACACAAATATGTCTACACACACAGCAACACAAACAGGTATACACACAGCAACACAAACCGGTACACACACAGCAACAGAAACATGTCTACACACACAGCAACACAAACAGGTATACACACAGCAACACAAACATGTCTACACACACAGCACACAAACAGGTCTACACACAGCAACACAAACATGTCTACACACACAGCAACACAAACAGGTCTACACACAGCAACACAAACATGTCTACACACACAGCAACACAAACATGTCTACACACACAGCAACACAAACATATCTACACACACAGCAACACAAACATGTCTACACACACATCAACACAAACAGGCATACACACAGTAACACAAACGTGTCTACACATACAGCAACACAAACATGTCTACAAACACAGCAACACATCAGGTATACACACAGCAACACAAACATGTCTACACACACAGCAACACAAACAGGTATACACACACAGCAACACAAACAGGTCTACACACACAGCAACACAAACAGGTAGACACACAGCAACACAAACACGTCTACACACAGCAACACAAACATGTCTACACACACATCAACACAAACAGGTATACACACAGCAACACAAACATGTCTACACACACAGCAACACAAACAGGTCTACACACAGCAACACAAACATGTCTACACACACAGCAACACAAACATGTCTACACACACATCAACACAAACATGTCTACACACACAGCAACACAAACATGTCTACACACACAGCAACACAAACATATCTACACACACAGCAACACAAACATGTCTACACACACATCAACACAAACAGGCATACACACAGTAACACAAACGTGTCTACACATACAGCAACACAAACATGTCTACAAACACAGCAACACATCAGGTATACACACAGCAACACAAACATGTCTACGCACACAGCAACACAAACAGGTATACACACACAGCAACACAAACAGGTCTACACACACAGCAACACAAACAGGTAGACACACAGCAACACAAACACGTCTACACACAGCAACACAAACATGTCTACACACACATCAACACAAACAGGTATACACACAGCAACACAAACATGTCTACACACACAGCAACACAAACAGGTCTACACACACATCAAGACCATCCTTACATTACAGTCTGTGTGGGGACCATTCTTATATTACTGTTTGTGTGGGGACCATTCTTACATTACTATCTGTGTGGGGACCATTCTTACATTACTGTCTGTGTGGGAATCATCCTTATATTACTGTCTATGTGGGGACCATTCTTACATTACTGTCTTTGTGGGGACCATTCTTACATTACTGTCTTTGTGGGGACCATTCTTACATTGCTGTCTGTGTGGGGACCATTCTTACATTACTGTCTTTGTGGGGACCATTCTTACATTACTGTCTGTGTGGGGACCATTCTTACATTACTGTCTGTGTGGGGACCATTCTTATATTACTGTCTTTGTGGGGACCATTCTTACATTACTGTCTTTGTGGGGACCATTCTTACATTGCTGTCTGTGTGGGGACCATTCTTACATTACTGTCTTTGTGGGGACCATTCTTACATTACTGTCTGTGTGGGGACCATTCTTACATTACTGTCTTTGTGGGGACCATTCTTACATTACTGTCTTTGTGGGGACCATTCTTACATTACTGTCTGTGTGGGGACCATTCTTACATTACTGTCGTGTGGGGACCATTCTTACAATACTGTCTGTGTGGGGACCATTCTTACATTACTGTCTTTGTGGGGACCATTCTTACATTACTGTCTGTGTGGGGACCATTCTTACATTACTGTCTGTGTGGGAACCATCCTTATATTACTGTCTGCGTGGGGACCATCCTTACATTACTGTCTGCGTGGGGACCATCCTTACATTACTGTCTGTGTGGGGACCATCCTTACATTACTGGCTGTGTGGGGACCAGTCTTACAATGCTGTCTGTGTGGGGACCATTCTTACATTACTGTCTGTGTGGGGACCATCCTTACATTACTGTCTGTGTGAGGACTATGCTCATATAACTGTCTTTGTGTGGACCATCCTTACATTACTGTCTGTGTGAGGACTATGCTCATATAACTGTCTTTGTGGGGACCATCCTTACATTACTGTCTGTGTGAGGACTATGCTCATATAACTGTCTGTGTGGGGACCATTCTTACATTACTGTCTGTGTGGGGACCATCCTTACATTACTGTCTGTGTGGGGACCATTCTTACATTACTGTCTGTGTGAGGACTATGCTCATATAACTGTCTATGTGGGGACCATCCTTATATTACTGTCTGTATGAGGACCATCCTTACATTACTGTCTGTGTGGGGACCATCCTTACATTGCTGTCTGTGTGGGGACCATTCTTACATTGCTGTCTGTGTGGGGACCATTCTTACATTACTGTCTGTGTGGGGACCATTCTTACATTACTGTCTGTGTGAGGACTATGCTCATGTAACTGTCTTTGTGGGGACCATCCTTACATTGCTGTCTGTGTGGGGACCATTCTTACATTACTGTCTGTGTGGGGACCATTCTTACATAAAAAGCACTTGATTTATGCATTCACTACCTCATATTTCATTTTTTTTTTTTTTTGCAGTGTATGGACTTTCTAATGGAGTAGCTCACTGTCGTTTGAATTCCAGAAAACGTATCTCTCTCTGGGGAAAGGTTGGAGACACTTACTCTATAATAAATACATTAAATATTGAAATATATGAACCTGTCGGGGTGCGATGGCGGCGGCCTCCTTCTCCCCCAGAACCACGGAGTAATAGGCCAAGTTCTGCTTCATCACCACGTCCTCGGGGTGGAACAGGAGGTAGGTTTTGGCACATTCTATGGCTTTGGCAAAGTTTTCACCTGAAGAAAAACAATTACATTTATTTTCAGAGAGTGTCAACAAAACACAGACTGATTCTAAAAGAGTCAAAACAGGTCCATGTGAAAGAAGTAACATTTGACATTAGTTTTTAGATTCACAAACCTGCAATACTAATCTTAAATCTGAGTTATATTCTCTGACTTCATATTTTTCTGGATATTGTCTCTGCTTCTAGACGTTGTCCTGAGAAAATAGTTAGATCTGTCGTCCAAAACCTTTATCAATGATGGAAAAAAACTGAAACTGAAAAAGGAAACTCTGACGTCTTCATAAACAAAACAAAGTTATTCTCATCAAAGTTTATTGAAGAGTCAAACACTTTATTTATTTTATATTATTGTTTTGATATAGGTGGTTTTTATTGTATTAGCAACTCCTGTTTTTGCCGGTCGGACCAGGGCCTTTCTGAGTGGAGTTTGCATGTTCTCCCCGTGTCTGCGTAGGTTTCCTCCGGGTACTCCGGTTACCCCTACCACTAATAATATGTACAATAGGTCTGGAATGTGCCTCCTGTACTGGTGCCCCCGCTCCCATCTCTGTGTGGAGTGAGAGACAAGTGCCCAAAAAAAAATAACACTTGTAAACCGCTTTGAGACTCAGATCTGCAGTGAAAAGGCGGTATATAAATACTTACTTACATATTCAAGCTTTTTTTGAGTGATTATTTTGTGTTTATTTTTTAATGTTCTGGAAACAGTCGTTTTGTGTTTTACAGTTGTGATTTTTCAGCTTTTTTCTCTCTATGAATGTTTCTGCAGAACAGTGTTGATGGTATTACACTGGTCCAGAGACGATGGTCCAAGAGGATCAAGAGGAAATCCACTGAGGACTGATCTTTTTGTTTTTGTAAAATGCCACTAAAACATTTAGGCTGAGTTCATACTGAGACGCTGCGCAGACGTTTCCAGGCTATTATCAGAAACGACCAGGCTCCTAATGCAAATTTCTCAGCGTTCATACGAGTTTGAACTCACTTCCTCTGGAAAGACGCGGAAGAACAGGGGAAGAACGCACCAACATCATTCTGCATTTTAACAGCAGCTGTGAAAATGGAAACTGAACCTAGAGCTTCGTGTGGTCTCGTTTGGACGAACGAAGGAGTAGAATTATCCTCTGTCCCGCGCTGGAAGTCCACGTAGCTAGTTAGTGTGACCGCCGCCATTGTTGTTGATGTTTGTTCTCTGCTACTGCGCATGTCCAAATGTACGTGCAGGAGCAGCAGGAGGTGGGGGTCAGAGCAGAGGGGGATTTCACACCTTTCTCCTCTCGCGGGTGTGAAAGAGCTCCTGCTGTGCAGCATTTCTGAGCTGTCCCACTCTGCAGGCTGGACGTTTTCACCCCCCTGGAACACAGTCTTCGTATGAACGTTGGTAGAAACTGACAGTTTTACTGCCACATTGTCTCTGTGTAAACTCAGCCTTAGAATTTTACTCTGAACCAGAGCAGAGGAAATGGTGGGAACCAATCAGATCAAGCAGACTCTGGAAACACTGTTTTAGGGCAACGCAAAAATACACGGAATGTAACTGACTGTGACTGATAATGTAACTGTAACTGAATGTAACTGATAATGTAACTGTAACTGATAATGTAACTGTAACTGATAATGTAACTGGACTCACTGTTGTAATATGAAAACTGGAGGTAGTTAAACTGCGACGGGAGGAAGTCGTCGAAGGGTTTCTCGCTCCCAGCGTTCGAGGCCAGTTCCACCGAACAGCGCTGTTTACAGTTCAACACCTGAGTGTAGTGATCTGAAGAAGAAGAACACACTTTGGTGTAACTGGTTTAGTCAGGTACACCCTAACCCTGGCCCTCCCCCACACCCTCCTCACCCTCACCCCCTCCCCCTCACCCTCACCCCCCCTCCTCACCCTCCCCCTCCCCCTCACACCCTCCTCACCCCCACCCCTCCCCCACCCCCTCACCCTCACCCCCTCACCCCCTCACCCTCCTCACCCTCACCCCCTCCCCCCCCTCACCCTCACCCCCTCCCCCTCACCCCTCACCCTCCCACCCCCTCCCCCCCCCCCTCCCACCCTCCTCACCCCCTCCCCCTCACCCTCCTCACCCTCACCCCCTCCCCCTCCCCTCACCCCCACACCCTCCTCCTCACCCTCCCCCTCCCCCTCCTCACCCTCACCCCCACACCCTCCTCACACCCTCACCCCCTCCCCCTCACCCCCTCACCCCCTCACCCTCCTCCCCCCCCCTCCCCCCCCCTCCTCACCCTCACCCCCTCACCCCCTCACCCCCTCCCCTCCTCACCCTCCTCACCCTCCTCACCCTCCCCCCTCCCCCTCACCCTCCTCACCCTCACCCTCCCCCTCACCCTCCTCACCCCCTCCCCCTCACCCTCCTCACCCTCACCCTCCTCACCCTCACCCCCCCCCCCTCACCCCTCACCCTCCTCACCCTCCTCACCCCCTCCACACCCTCCTCACCCTCACCCCCTCCCCCACACCCTCCTCACCCTCACCCCCTCACCCCCTCACCCCCTCACCCTCACCCTCCTCCCTCACCCTCCTCCTCCTCACCCTCCTCACCCTCACCCCCTCCCCCTCACCCTCCTCACCCTCACCCCCTCCCCTCCTCACCCCCTCCCCCTCACCCTCCTCACCCCACACCCCTCACCCTCACCCCCCTCCCCCTCCTCACCCCCCTCCCCCTCACCCTCCTCACCCTCACCCCCTCCCCCTCACCCTCCTCACCCTCACCCTCACCCCCTCACCCCCTCACCCCCTCACCCCTCCCCCTCACCCTCACCCCCCCTCCTCACCCTCCCCCTCTCACCGGTCATGGTCTGGAACAGGTCTGCGCTGTACTCCATGTAGTTGTAGCCGTCGTAGTTGTAGGATCCTTCGCACAGAGCGCGACACTCTCTGTCGGCCGGAAAATACTCGTTCAAAGCCGACTCGAAGTAATCCGCCGCGAGTCCGAACGAGTCGTGGCTGTAGTAACGTTTTCCCGTCAGAAAATCAGCCTGAAAGATGGAGTGATTTTATTACGTTCATGGAGCTACTTCTGTTGTCTACTGCACTTACAGCACATACTGTACACATACTGTACACATACTGTACACATGCAAATATATATAAACACATAATTATTACGGTCTCACTCCGCGTGTCCCTCCCTAAGCTCGGGTCCTCTATTTATTTGTTTGGATGGATGTAAAATATCCATTGTGAGATCAATAAAGTTTATCTTATATGTTTCTGCTGCTGGACACCAACAGGGCTCAGTAGTACAGTATCTATCATCTATCTAAATAAAAGTCCTTTATGAACCAGAGACTTCTTCAGACATATAACAGACAACAGGTACAGGTGTCATGTGACCTACAAACACATCAAGATAAAACACATTTTCATCCCGCTGCAGATCCTGAGGAGCAGCTGATGAGAATCGACTGAACTGGCGGTTTACAGACTAAACCAATGAGGAGGCAGCTCTTCCTCTGGTGGTGGACATCTAATTATACAGTAGTTTTAATGTGTAAAAACCATAAATCTGACCAAGATGTAACTTTTTCAGTATAGTCCGCACCATGTGGGGCTTAATCTCCAGGTCTTTGAAGTCTTCTTCTGTGACTCCCGCCATCATCCTGTAGTACTCCAGGTTCTGCTTCATCTCCGTGTGCAGAGGGTTGGCCTGGAAGAAGGTGTTCGCCGCTGCCACCGCCTTGTCCAGTTTGTTAATCTGACACACACAAAGTTTATCTGACACACAACGTTTATCTGACACACACAAAGAGGAGTCAACTCACTACATTCTTTATCGTCTTTACACAACACAATTATACACAACACATTTATACACACAACACAATTATACACAACACATTTATACACAACACATTTATACACACAACACAATTATACACAACACATTTATACACACAACACATCTACAGTCAGTAAAGAGTCCAGAATCAAACAGGACAGAACCAGGACCATTGAAAACACTGATTTTTCCAGACTGACAGAGTATAGTTTGTGAATGACCTTATATTTGATCCAATCCACTCTTGACAGTTCCTCCAAAGGTCCTTCTGCCTTCAGTAAGTAGTAATGTTTATTTATATAGCGCCTTTCACAGACCAGAGTCACAAAGCACTTTACGACTGTTGTTTTCTTTAGGCATCTGTCTGTCACTCCACAGACAGATGGGAGCAGGGTTACAGACCTACTGTACATGATTTTAGTGGTAGGGGAAACCGGAGCACCCAGAGGAAACAGACACGGGGAGAACATGCAAACACGAGGAGAACCATTGAATATGAATAATTATCTGCTTCCTGTGGCTCAGAGAATAGACTTTACAGCTGTTTGTTACAAGTCTCTCCATTTGTGACATGTCAGTGCCATATAAACCAACTCTGAGGAGCACAGGGACTGGACTCCTGCTGGGACTCTGAGGAGCACAGGGACTGGACTCCTGCTGGGACTCTGAGGAGCACAGGGACTGGCCTCCTGCTGGGACTCTGAGGAGCACAGGGACTGGCCTCCTGCTGGGACTCTGAGGAGCACAGGGACTGGACTCCTGCTGGGACTCTGAGGAGCACAGGGACTGGCCTCCTGCTGGGACTCTGAGGAGCACAGGGACTGGCCTCCTGCTGGGACTCTGAGGAGCACAGGGACTGGCCTCCTGCTGGGACTCTGAGGAGCACAGGGACTGGCCTCCTGCTGGGACTCTGAGGAGCACAGGGACTGGCCTCCGCTGGGACTCTGAGGAGCACAGGGACTGGCCTCCTGCTGGTCCCAGAGTCAGGACTAAACATGAGGAGGCAGTGTTTAAGATTCATGCAGCTATAATCTGGAAGTCTTCCTGAAAATGTGAGACAGACTTCTTCAATCAATCAATCAAATTTTTATTTGTATAGCGCCCAACAACAGCCAGAAGGTGCCCAGGGCGCTTTCCAGGATAAAAACAAGAATCACACTTGTCAATGTTTAAATCTTAAAAAAGTTCTTTTTCTGCAACAACTGAAGGATTTTATATTTACTCTTTTTATTGTGATTATTGATTATTTTAATGCTGTGTCCTTTCTATTGTTCCACTCTTTGATCTGTGCTATAAACAGTAAGAATGCACAGCTGCATGAGTCTGCACAGCTGCATGTGTCTGCACAGCTGCATGTGTCTACACAGCTGCATGTGTCTGCACAGCTGCATGTGTCTGCACAGCTGCATGTGTCTACACAGCTGCATGAGTCTGCACAGCTGCATGTGTCTACACAGCTGCATGAGTCTGCACAGCTGCATGAGTCTGCACAGCTGCATGTGTCTGCACAGCTGCATGAGTCTGCACAGCTGCATGAGTCTGCACAGCTGCATGAGTCTGCACAGCTGCATGAGTCTGCATGTGTCTGCAGAGGCTCCTCCTTGAGACGTGGCATGGCTGTGTTTGGGGGTTGGGGCTGCTCTGAAGTTTGGTGAAAGTAACAACAGTTTAGAGCCAAACTCCTTGATCTTAAAGTCACAAAGTTACCTTGAAATATGCCACTTGGAGGTAGTTGTAGGGGGTCCTCTTCCTGAACTCCAGCTCCGTCTCTGCACTGGACAGATGCAGAGTCGGGGGTCCGAGCTTCTCACTCTCGCAGGAGTTCACACAATCTGCTCTTTTCAGGATCTTCTGGAAGAACCCCAGGTCATCCACGGAGCCCACGCCCGGGATGGGGACTCCTAAGCCCGCCAGAGGCTCACCGAAGGCGGTCTGGTTGGCACAGCGCTCCCGGCAGTCCGCTTTGACCCGGCGCAGCGCGGACCGGCTCAGGAGCGCCTTCTCCATGTTCAGGATGACCGAGAGCCAGTCCCCGCGGCTGTAGGCCTCCACCGCGGTGTCGAACAGAAAGTCATGCGGCTCCAGGAAGGTCCGGTCCGGGGCAGTGTCCGAGCAGAGGGACCGAGAAAGGAGGCAGGACAGGAGCACGAACCCGCGGAGCTCCATGATGGGACTCACCGGAGACTGGGACCCGGACTGGGACTGGGACCGGAGAGGGGCGTGTGACGTCACCTCCCAGGCCTGGGGGGAGCGGAGGGAGCGGGGGGGGGGGGGGGGGGGTGGGAGTGTGATGAGTTCTACCAGAATAATACTGTGTCATTGTCTCTTGTTTTGTTTAAACTGTGCTAAACAGATAAACTTCCTTTGCCTTAGTGAACATAACTGAGACCTGGAATCCAGAACCATCTGCAGAAAGCATTTTTACACAAGCCGCGACACTGACCCTGCTCTCAGCCTGAGCAGGTCCGGACGAGGGTCTGAGAAGTGAGTGATGTTTATTTATATAGCACATGTTTACAGACAAAGTTCACAACAAAGCGCTTTACAAAGGTCAGATATTGTTCCATTCTCTCCACACGGTGATGACAGAAGCGAGACGCCAAACACACTGGTCCATCAAAGCCTGCGACCAAACACCCTCCATCTACTCATTTACATTCAGACCTATTGTGCATGTTTTTAGTGGTGGGGGAAACCGGAGCACTTGGAGGAAACCTATGCAGACACGGGAAGAACATGCAAGCACTCAGAAAGACTCTGTTCCGACCGGGATTCGAACCCAGGACCTTCTTGCTGATGAAGATAAATGTGAAGCTCTTGTTAGTTTAGACTACAGATTGTTGAAGAAAGAAAAACATCTTCACATCGTCTCCAAGAATCAGCGTTTGATCTCGGGTTCATATCAAAAGGCTCCACAAACTCATTAAGCGGGAAAGTCAGTGTCTCAAAGCAGAGCATAGTAAAAACAATAAGATAAACCACTGTATTTCTTTTATATATGTATAAACGAAATCCATATCCATATATATGTATAAAAGAAATCATTAAAAACCTTGTCGAAAATGACCTAAAATCTGCTTAAGGTTCTTTGAGCTGAAGTAAGAATCTGAGCCAGACGTGTCGCTCATTATGTTAAAAAGTGCATTAAAGGTTTGTACTTTGACAATAATAACACATTTTTAATCCACTAGTCCACTAGAGGGCAGACAGAGCACACTTTCTTTCCGGTTCTTCCCGTTACAAAAGCACAAGTTTGGGTCTACGGTTATTACATATCAGAGTTTGATGTTCAGTAACATGAAAGTACATCGAGTTTCCAGATCAAGAACTCATTACACTTTAAATGGCAGTTTTTCTACTTTACAAAATAACTCAATGAGAACCGTTTCCTTTAATTAATCCCTGGAGACAATATTTACAGTCGATGCTGGAGACACATGACCTAAGCAGAACATTCTAATAACAGATTTTGATTCTAGGGTCAACTCTTTCAACTCTAGGGCCGCATCCAAATTCATACACAACACTCCTTCTTCCTTGTTTTGCTTTTTATTAATTGCAATTACATTTAGTTTCACCTACGTTTAAATAGAACGTATTTAAACTACATTGAGTTAACTTGACCTAAGCCGGAGCTACAGGGTTTGGAAAGAGTAAAGAATAAGCAGGGTTAAAATGTGAAATCGGACGTAGCCAAAATCCAAACTTTATTCATGGACGCAGAAAGAATGGCTAATAACTAAAATAATCCACTGTCTATGAGATAAACACATACACACCAACACACTTTAAACCACTCACATAAATACAATTCTGTTTTGTATTTATTTTACCCGTGTTAGTGTCAGATTCTACTCAGGCGCTCCGTGGACAGCTCTTCGCGGTGAGGGGAGGAGACGAAGGACCCCTGAAGCCAACCAGTCCATTTGCTCAGAACCGGCTGATCAACAACACTTACCAAACCAGCCTCATATAAGAGTTTTCCTGCGGGCTTTGACTCTTCTTTTGCGGGGTATTTGGACTCAACAGAACCATGGAGCGAGCAGTGAGCCTCCCGAACCAGCCCGACAGAACCACCACCGGTAAATACATCAATATATAATAATAATAATCATTTATGAACGCACGTGTCCATCTTATGTAAGCTATTGATATGTTTTTGGTTGTTGTTCTGTAACTACTGTCTAATGACCAAATAACAAACTATAACTATTGACTGATCTACTCAAAATCAGTTTAATTATTATTAAAGTGAATGGTGGGGAAATGTCAGTGTTGCATCAGCAGTTCCAGAACAGTAGGAGCCCACAGCCGAGATAAAAGAACAATAACGCTTTACTAAAATAAAATAAAACATCTAGCTTTAGCATAATAAAGAAGCTAGTATAAAATCTAGCTTTAGCATAATAAAGAAGCTAGTATAAAATCTCTAGCTTTAGCATAATAAAGAAGCTAGTATAAAATCTCTAGCTTTAGCATAATAAAGAAGCTAGTATAACATCTCTAGCTTTAGCATAATAAAGAAGCTAGTATAACATCTCTAGCTTTAGCATAATAAAGAAGCTAGTATAAAATCTCTAGCTTTAGCATAATAAAGAAGCTAGTATAAATCTCTAGCTTTAGCATAATAAAGAAGCTAGTATAAATCTCTAGCTTTAGCATAATAAAGAAGCTAGTATAAATCTCTAGCTTTAGCATAATAAAGAAGCTAGTATAAAATCTCTAGCTTTAGCATAATAAAGAAGCTAGTATAAAATCTCTAGCTTTAGCATAATAAAGAAGCTAGTATAATATCTATAGCTTTAGCATAATAAAGAAGCTAGTATAAAATCTGTAGCTTTAGCATAATAAAGAAGCTAGTATAAATCTCTAGCTTTAGCATAATAAAGAAGCTAGTATAAAATCTCTAGCGTTAGCATAATAAAGAAGCTAGTATAACATCTCTAGCTTTAGCATAATAAAGAAGCTAGTATAAAATCTCTAGCTTTAGCATAATAAAGAAGCTAGTATAAAATCTAGCTTTAGCATAATAAAGAAGCTAGTATAAAATCTCTAGCTTTAGCATAATAAAGAAGCTAGTATAAATCTCTAGCTTTAGCATAATAAAGAAGCTAGTATAAAACATCTAGCTTTAGCATAATAAAGAAGCTAGTATAACATCTCTAGCTTTAGCATAATAAAGAAGCTAGTATAAAGTCTCTAGCTTTAGCATAATAAAGAAGCTAGTATAAATCTCTAGCTTTAGCATAATAAAGAAGCTAGTATAACATCTCTAGCTTTAGCATAATAAAGAAGCTAGTATAAAATCTCTAGCTTTAGCATAATAAAGAAGCTAGTATAAAACCTCTAGCTTTAGCATAATAAAGAAGCTAGTATAAAACCTCTAGCTTTAGCATAATAAAGAAGCTAGTATAAATCTCTAGCTTTAGCATAATAAAGAAGCTAGTATAAAACCTCTAGCTTTAGCATAATAAAGAAGCTAGTATAAAATCTCTAGCTTTAGCATAATAAAGAAGCTAGCATAAAATCACTAGCTTTAGCATAATAAAGAAGCTAGTATAAAATCTGTAGCTTTAGCATAATAAAGAAGCTAGTATAACATCTCTAGCTTTAGCATAATAAAGAAGCTAGTATAAAATCTAGCTTTAGCATAATAAAGAAGCTAGTATAAAATCTCTAGCTTTAGCATAATAAAGAAGCTAGTATAAATCTCTAGCTTTAGCATAATAAAGAAGCTAGTATAAAACCTCTAGCTTTAGCATAATAAAGAAGCTAGTATAAAATCTCTAGCTTTAGCATAATAAAGAAGCTAGTATAAAGTCTCTAGCTTTAGCATAATAAAGAAGCTAGTATAAAATCTCTAGCTTTAGCATAATAAAGAAGCTAGTATAAAATCTGTAGCTTTAGCATAATAAAGAAGCTAGTATAAAATCTCTAGCTTTAGCATAATAAAGAAGCTAGTATAAAATCTAGCTTTAGCATAATAAAGAAGCTAGTATAACATCTCTAGCTTTAGCATAATAAAGAAGCTAGTATAAAATCTCTAGCTTTAGCATAATAAAGAAGCTAGTATAACATCTCTAGCTTTAGCATAATAAAGAAGCTAGTATAAATCTCTAGCTTTAGCATAATAAAGAAGCTAGTATAAAATCTCTAGCTTTAGCATAATAAAGAAGCTAGTATAAAATCTCTAGCTTTAGCATAATAAAGAAGCTAGTATAAAATCTCTAGCTTTAGCATAATAAAGAAGCTAGTATAAAACCTCTAGCTTTAGCATAATAAAGAAGCTAGTATAAAATCTCTAGCTTTAGCATAATAAAGAAGCTAGTATAAAATCTCTAGCTTTAGCATAATAAAGAAGCTAGTATAAAAATCTGTAGCTTTAGCATAATAAAGAAGCTAGTATAAATCTCTAGCTTTAGCATAATAAAGAAGCTAGTATAAATCTCTAGCTTTAGCATAATAAAGAAGCTAGTATAAATCTCTAGCTTTAGCATAATAAAGAAGCTAGTATAAAATCTCTAGCTTTAGCATAATAAAGAAGCTAGTATAAATCTCTAGCTTTAGCATAATAAAGAAGCTAGTATAAAATCTCTAGCTTTAGCATAATAAAGAAGCTAGTATAAAATCTCTAGCTTTAGCATAATAAAGAAGCTAGTATAAATCTCTAGCTTTAGCATAATAAAGAAGCTAGTATAAAATCTCTAATACTGTATATTCCAGTGCAAGAAAAGCTGGAGCACCTCAGTTGTTTGTCCAAACAGAAAGAATCTTACATTTTGCGAACAAAAATTTTCTTTATAAATCCACACTTTTAAACAAAGCTCTTAGGATTGTTAATGACTCTTCTGGCCACCCTGGGAAAGCCATGTTCCAGCTTCTTCCCTCTGGCAGAAGATATCGCTCTCTGAGATGCAGGACATCTCGTTACGCTAACAGTTTTTATCCACAGGCTGTTATCAGTGTGAACAGAGCACTTTAATGATTTGCACTTGTTTTGAAACTGTTTTAGTCGATCCATTTCACAGTGACATTTGTTTACTGTTTTATTTGTTTTATTTCTGTCTTTTAATGTTGTTTTATGTCTGTATTTGTCTGTGCACACTGGAGACTTTTGTGGTTTTACTGCAAATAAACTGAATCTGAATCTGAACTAATCTAAACGTAACATAAAGTTATATCTTAACATTAATCGTTTCCATACTGAGAGCTGATTGGCTGACGGGGATACTGAGAGCTGATTGGCTGACGGGGATACTGAGAGCTGATTGGCTGACGGGGATACTGGAGATTACTGAGAGCTGATTGGCTGACGGGGATACTGAGAGCTGATTGGCTGACGGGGATACTGAGAGCTGATTGGCTGACGGGGATACTGAGAGCTGATTGGCTGACGGGGATACTGAGAGCTGATTGGCTGACGGGGATACTGAGAGCTGATTGGCTGACGGGGATACTGAGAGCTGATTGGCTGACGGGGATACTGAGAGCTGATTGGCTGACGGGGATACTGAGAGCTGATTGGCTGACGGGGCTGGACGTTCTCAGACATAGGTCAAAAAGTACATGATGTGAAAGTGACCGATGGAACTAAACTGTTTTTAGAGCCAGGAACTTGTCGGCTGGAATTTATGACACTTTTTTCTGTGGTTTCAAAGCTCCAGACCTGCTACAAAACATATATATTATTATTATCTATATTGGGAAACTAAGTGGAAAAGGACCCTCTGACTTAAAATACAATCTTTTATTATTGAGCGGACCTTGCCTTGTACCTCAGACCTGTTCCTCTGTGTATTTGATCTTATCTTGTACATTTTATCATCCCTATTGTTTACATTATGACCCTCCGTGTGGACTAATCTTCCCACCGTCCTGTGCAGTGACGCTGGTGGAGAGCAGCCCCAGCCCCAGTGGTCTGGACCTGGTGAGTTCCTACCAGACCATGAGAGCTGGAGACCCCATGGACCTGGTGGCGTTGGCCTCACAAGTGCAAAAGGTACACAACCCTTCTCTCTTTCTTCACCGTGAGAGACCACCACACTTTACTGTGTGTCTTTAACTCCAGGGAGATGATTTTATCAAAGCAAACGCCTGCAACAAACTGACTGTGATCGCGGACCAGATCAGATACCTCCAGGAGCAGGCTCGGAAGGTAGCGTGTTAGCGTGTTAGCATGTTAGCGTGTTAGCGTGTTAGCGTGTTAGCGTGTTAGCGTGTTAGCGTGTTAGCGTGTTAGCATGTTAGCGTGTTAGCATGTTAGCATGTTAGCATGTTAGCGTGTTAGCGTGTTAGCATGTTAGCATGTTAGCGTGTTAGCATGTTAGCGTGTTAGCATGTTAGCGTGTTAGCGTGTTAGCATGTTAGCGTGTTAGCATGTTAGCGTGTTAGCATGTTAGCGTGTTAGCGTGTTAGCTAAGTTTACGGTCTGTACTCACGCCTCGTTTGTTGTGTTAAGGTTTTAGAAGAAGCCAAACGAGACGCAGACCTCCACCATGCGGCGTGTAACATGGTGAAGAAACCAGGAAACATGTACTACCTCTACCAACGACCATCGGGACAGAAGTACTTCTCCATCGTCTCTCCAAAGGTACAACTTATTCTTCTATCGCCCGAGAGCACAGCAGCTTCATCTCAGACTGAACCACACAGAGAGACCACATGGTATTGGACCATAGAGAGAGACCACATGGTATTGGACCATAGAGAGAGAGACCACATGGTATTGGACCATAGAGAGAGAGACCACATGGTATTGGACCATAGAGAGAGAGACCACATGGTATTGGACCATAGAGAGAGACCACATGGTATTGGACCATAGAGAGACCACATGGTATTGGACCATAGAGAGACCACATGGTATTGGACCATAGGGAGAGACCACATGGTATTGGACCATAGGGAGAGACCTGGTATTGGACCATAGGGAGAGACCACATGGTATTGGACCATAGAGAGAGACCACATGGTATTGGACCATAGAGAGAGACCACATGGTATTGGACCATAGGGAGAGACCACATGGTATTGGACCATAGGGAGAGAACACATGGTATTGGACCATAGAGAGAGACCACATGGTATTGGACCATAGGGAGACCACATGGTATTGGACCATAGAGAGAGACCACATGGTATTGGACCATAGGGAGAGACCACATGGTATTGGACCATAGGGAGAGAACACATGGTATTGGACCATAGAGAGAGAGACCACATGGTATTGGACCATAGAGAGAGAGACCACATGGTATTGGACCATAGAGAGAGAGACCACATGGTATTGGACCATAGAGAGAGAGACCACATGGTATTGGACCATAGAGAGAGAGACCACATGGTATTGGACCATAGAGAGAGACCACATGGTATTGGACCATAGGGAGAGACCACATGGTATTGGACCATAGGGAGAGAACACATGGTATTGGACCATAGAGAGAGACCACATGGTATTGGACCATAGGGAGACCACATGGTATTGGACCATAGGGAGACCACATGGTATTGGACCATAGAGAGAGACCACATGGTATTGGACCATAGGGAGAGACCACATGGTATTGGACCATAGGGAGAGACCACATGGTATTGGACCATAGGGAGAGACCACATGGTATTGGACCATAGGGAGAGACCACATGGTTTTGGACCATAGGGAGAGAACACATGGTATTGGACCATAGAGAGAGAGACCACATGGTATTGGACCATAGAGAGAGAGACCACATGGTATTGGACCATAGAGAGAGAGACCACATGGTATTGGACCATAGAGAGAGAGACCACATGGTATTGGACCATAGAGAGAGAGACCACATGGTATTGGACCATAGAGAGAGAGACCACATGGTATTGGACCATAGAGAGAGAGACCACATGGTATTGGACCATAGAGAGAGAGACCACATGGTATTGGACCATAGAGAGAGAGACCACATGGTATTGGACCATAGAGAGAGACCACATGGTATTGGACCATGGAGAGAGACCACATGGTATTGGACCATGGAGAGAGACCACATGGTATTGGACCATGGAGAGAGACCACATGGTATCGATCCATAGAGAGACCACATGGTATCGATCCATAGAGAGACCACATGGTATCGATCCATAGAGAGACCACATGGTATCGATCCATAGAGAGACAGACCACATGGTATCGATCCATAGAGAGAGAGACCACATGGTATTGGACCATAGAGAGAGAGACCACATGGTATTGGACCATAGAGAGAGAGACCACATGGTATTGGACCATAGAGAGAGACCACATGGTATTGGACCATAGAGAGAGACCACATGGTATTGGACCATGGAGAGAGACCACATGGTATCGATCCATAGAGAGACCACATGGTATCGATCCATAGAGAGACCACATGGTATCGATCCATAGAGAGACCACATGGTATCGATCCATAGAGAGACCACATGGTATCGATCCATAGAGAGACAGACCACATGGTATCGATCCATAGAGAAAGAGACCACATGGTATCGGTCCATGGAGAGAGAGACCACATGGTATCGGTCCATGGAGAGAGAGACCACATGGTATCGGTCCATGGAGAGAGAGACCACATGGTATCGGTCCATGGAGAGAGAGACCACATGGTATCAGTCCATAGAGAGACCACATGGTATCGATCCATAGAGAGACAGACCACATGGTATTGATCCATAGAGAGAGAGACCACATGGTATCAGTCCATAGAGAGAGAGACCACATGGTATCAGTCCATAGAGAGACCACATGGTATCGATCCATAGAGAGAGAGACCACATGGTATCGATCCATAGAGAGAGAGACCACATGGTATCGATCCATAGAGAGAGAGACCACATGGTATCAGTCCATAGAGAGAGAGACCACATGGTATCAGTCCATAGAGAGAGAGACCACATGGTATCAGTCCATAGAGAGAGAGACCACATGGTATCAGTCCATAGAGAGAGAGACCACATGGTATCAGTCCATAGAGAGAGAGACCACTGTCCATGAATGTTAAATGTCATAAATAACGTTCTATCTGAGAATGGACATACTTTAGTTCCAAATGGGGGAGGGGCAGTGTGCATGACATAAGAGAAGCTTTATGTGTCCCAGAGTGGGGAAATGTCAGTGTTGCAGCGCACAGACAGGACAGTAAGAACACACAAAATATACAATGTATAAGTAGCTGCAGTGTCTTTTAGAGAAATGATCTTCAAGCATTTACAGCTATCTTATGTCTGTACATTTCTCCATAGTGTGTCTCCTCTTTATATAGTGTAAAGTTATACACACACAACGGCAGGACAATGTGTGTATAACTTTACACTATATATAACGTCAGGATAATGTGTGTGTATAACTTTACACTATATATAACGTCAGGATAATGTGTGTATAACTTTACACTATATATAACGTCAGGATAATGTGTGTATAACTTTACACTATATATAACGTCAGGATAATGTGTGTATAACTTTACACTATTGATAAGAATCAGACTCATGCAAATCGGGATCTTTGTACGACAAAGCCTCCTGGCTGGTTTATTCACAAAATGGTCGTTAATTTTCAGGCAGAACAAAAGACACAGATACATTATATATGGAAATCTACGTCATCATAGAAAAGGCCAAACCTTCGGCACCAAATAGCCTAAACAACGAAAGTCTCTGTGGTCCTTGAGACCTCCACAAGGCCAGGTTATTAATACTATTTTGTCTTGCATTTGTCCACCTGTGCAGTACATAGGTCACTGTTTACCACACCCTCCCATTTTATCACATAAACACATGTGATAATAAAAATACGAAAACAACAAAAATAAATCAATCAATCAACAAAAACTTACAATCATGAAATCAAGTAAAGTGAATAACTGATTCTTAACTTGCAAAAAAATAATGATAATAAAAAATAATCACTTTCACTATATAATCATGAATTTAGCTGATTTTATAATTCAAACAATAACAAAAATCTCTATTGGACACCAGAACCAAGCTGATATGAGTCATAGAGCAGGCGGGACTGAGCATTAAGAATCAAATATAAAATTAATTACTCACTTCATCCTAATGTGAAGTCTTAATATTAATTGCTACATTAACCTAAACGTTTTGATTTTACACTGTACACCTGTACAGCTATTATCTTATACTATTTTAAAACACTAATATGATTATTTTGCAAAGCTATGTACAATTTCGGTTGAATTTGCATCTTAGTGGAACATATAGCTAATAAATCTCACTATCGGACTCCGTCTCGTCCTCTTCTTCTAGACAGTAGTTTACACTCATCATTAGCGGCATTGTGTTAATATACTGTTTGGAAATTGCAGCTGCGATCAATCGCTCAATCAGATGTCTAAGGCATGGAACTACACAACATCCTCCCAGGATTAAAACTGTGAACACAATTAGGCAAGTGCTTAAAATTGACATTATTATGGGGGTCAAGGATCCGAATAGACTATTGAACCAGGCTATCCAAGTGCTATCTTGTGTTCCTGAGTTCTTTGTGACTTCCTCGGACAAGAGTCTAAGGTTATTTATGGCTCTGGAGATGCTACCGTCTGGCGCAGTATTATTGGGAATAAACGTACAGCATTTGTCTTGGAAAAAATGGCACACTCCCGAGCTACTTGCTAGAATCATGTCTAGGGCTAATCTATTTTGCCAGGCCATCAATGAGGTTGGTGCCAATTGCTCTGAAATGCTCTCAAGTGCGCCAATTGTATAGTTGATGAATCTCTGTTGGTTGTAATATATGTAATTGATCCAGGCTACATTCATGTTAGAGGTGGGCCAGCTAAACAAGATTGAGGCTAGTCCCCTAGTTATTTCGTTTTGAGCCTTGAATTCATCCGGCACACCTACAGGAACCCCGGCCCAATTTAACCATACTCCCTTGTCAAATGAGATAGCCTATGTTTTAGGTCACTTTGAGAATGGTAGCCCCAATCAGTTCCGGTATTAGCAATTGTATAAGCCCAAGATTCAAAATTACAACCACGAGAGATTCCTGAACTGCCCCATACGCCTCTTGCAATGTAGCATGCATTGGTAGTTATACATAAAAACTTTTCATATTGTTTGTATTCACAGGGATTTGAACATGAGTGAATTTGGCAAGAATCTAATAAGACTGTGCATTGTTTTCCTACCTGACAAACCATTTTAACTGTTGGTGCTCTGTCCCCAGGACTAAAATGTCCGATGCTCCTGCCTGCTCTCTGTCTCATACCTTGTGAAGTTATTGCATTTGGCAGATCAAGAGTTGTGATCCCGCTTGCAGCTGTGGTCACAGTTGGTTTTTCAGTCTGCTGGTTCTCGTATGGCAAATCGCGGTGTCCAACAGGTTGTTCAACAGATATCCAGCAAACTAGGGACACACACAAAAAAGAAAACATCATGAGTACATATTTCCATTTAAAACTCATCAAGGGTGGGGTTTTAATCACAAAAACATTACTTCCCCCGTTTTTCCAACTCTCCAGGGTCCCCTGAGAGTGCGTCCGGGGTCTCGGTTGATCGGTCATCAGTTGAGGTTGTATTTCGAGCGACGTCATCTTGGACCTCTGCCAGGGTGCGTTCCGTCTGGTCACTCGGGCTGCGAATGCAGTGTTCAAGATGGTACCAGTACTTCACACCGGCTCGATCGACCTGAACAGACCTCCCTGTGCAATTAGTCACTTTATATGGTCCTGTCTGGTATGGCTGAGTCCATTTGGATCTATTCTGAACTTTGATGAATATCCAATCACCAGGTTTAACAATGGGGTCAATCTCATCTGTTTGTCTCAATTGGTTAGTTTGTCGTCTGCACTCGGACAACTGGGAAACAATTGTCCTGAGCTCAGACAAATATTGCTGGTGAATCCAGTCCCATTCGACAAAGGGGGCTTCAGCATTGAGTGGACCAATCGGCCTGTGCATTTCTCTCCCAGTCAATAACATGTGTGGAGAGTAACTTGTTGACTTGTTCACGCTATTCCTGATGTCCATCAGCACAAGAGGAAGAGCAGTGACCCAGTCAAGTTTTGAAGTCTGCCAAACCTTAGCTAGCTTACGTTTGATGGTTGCATTCATGCGTTCAACTTGACCCTGAGATTTTGGATGGTAAACACAACCAAATTTTTGTGAAATCCCGAGAGTTTTCAACACGTCACGCACAATCTTAGCTGTAAAATGTCTGCCATTATCAGATCTGATCTGATAAGGGCAGCCGAATCTACAGATTACATCACGCATTAGATGTTTTACAACTTCTGCCGCGGTTTCGGTTCGACACGGAAAGGCTTCTACCCACTTAGTATATTCGCAAACGATAACTAAAAGATATCGAAAACCTCTAACACGCCTGTCAGGACCCATGTCTGTAAAGTCCATGACAATTTTTTCAAAGGGCGAATTGGGCATGATGAAAGTGCCAGGTGGGGGTTTGCAAGTCTTCTTGGGGTTCATGGTTTGGCAAGTGTGGCAATTGTTGATTCGATATTGAAGCATTTCTTTCATATTTGGATGCCACCATGGTTCCATGAGACGAATCATAGAGTTGACGCTTCTGTGCAGCGGGCTGTGGTATTCTTCAAACAACATTTGTATAAGTGCGGCGGGTGCCGCAATACGACCTTCGTGGTTTCTCCAGAGGCCTTCTTCTCCTTTTGTTGCTCCTTTTAGTTTCCATTGATGTTGTTCATATGCCCCAGCTGCGTTTTGAAGTTCTTTCTCATATTGGAGATCGATTAAATGTGATTGTGTGTTCAACTCTTGATTTTTTGTCTTCTTCTTCTTCTTCTTTGATTCTTTGGTCTGTTCTTTGTCTTCTTGAGCGTTTTGCGTTTCCTCTTCTTCTTGAACTTTTTTTTTTTTTCTGGTTTCTGGTTTCTGTTGTACGATCATTGTTCTTTTCATGTAGTTGGCAGCCTTTTTTCAGTCCTCTCCTTGTGTATGTGCTCTGCATTTCATGATGGCCAGTTTGCTTGGTAGGTTCACTGCATCAATCAGATGTCTCACAAGAACTTCATGTTTTACCGGCAGTCCATTTATCAGTTTGAAGCCATTTCTTATCCATCCAGGAATTGAGATTGTCAATGTCCTGTAAGCATATGCCGAGTCGGTATAGATGTTCGCAGTCCGTCCACTGGCGAGTTGTAGTGCTCGCAGCAGACCTGTAAGTTCAGCCACTTGAGCAGATCCTTGCTCCACTTGTCTTGCTTCCAATACTCTGTGCTCTCCATTTTCCTTTTGCGAGACGACAGCGTATGATGAGATGGTTTCTCCAGTTTGCGCTCTGTATGAGCAGCCATCGCAGAAGAGTGTCATTTCAGCATTTGGAATTGGCTCAAATTGAAGATCAGCTCTTACATATAGTTCAGTCTTCGCCAGTTCTTCACAGATATGGTCCGTGCTGTTGCTTTCAGAGTCATTGATCATATGCATGGCCATGTTGATGTTTCCACTGGCATAGGTGATGTGAGGTTGACGAAGCGTCTGAGTGATGTTGGCAGTTCTTTGGGCTGTGGTGATGAACAGTTTTGAGTTCAAGTATGCTTGGATCATGATTGTTTTGGTCAATGCTGCCAGATATCTTGCACATCCAGGTTGGGCTTGGTCGTGTGCATCAAGTTTGCAAGAGTAGTGTTTCAGAACTCTTCTTTCTCCTTTTTTCTTCTGATACAATATTCCATAGACATAGAATTGTGATTCAGCCACATCAAGATGAAACGGCAGTGTGTAGTCTGGCACATACAGTGCACAGGCGTTACAGACGGCTTGCTTTGTTCTTGTAAAGGAGTTTTCTGCTTCTGTGGTCCAAGTTAAACTTGCAGTTGGTTGGTTCATGCCATGGGGTTTGATCAGTTCTCTTAGAGGTGCGGTCATTGCGGTATAGTTGGGTACATATTCTCGACTGTAGTTGCAAAGTCCGAGAAAACTCAGCATTTGTCGCACCGTTTTTGGTTTTGGTGTCTTCAGAATTGCATCTTTGTTGGAGTCTGAGACTCCCTGTCCAACTGCAGAAACCTCTCTTCCCAAGAAGTACACAGATCTTCGGCACATTTGGATTTTCTCCCGCTTCACTTTATAGCCTTTTCTTGCCAGGTGTGTGAGCAGATCAGTGGATGCTTGTAAAACGGACCTTGCATCTGGTCCTGAAATAGCCAGATCATCCACATATTGTATGAGAGTGCACTTCTCAGGAAGGTTAAACTCAGCCAGATCCAGACGTAGGAAATGGTTGAAGTACCCGGGGGACAGTTTCCATCCTTGGGGCATCCGACAGTAAGTGTATTGTCTCCCCTTCACGGTGAAGGCAAAGTACTTCTGAGATTTTGGATGCAGTTTGATTGTGAAGAAGGCGTTGGCCAGATCAATTACTGTGAAGTACTTGTCGTTCGGAGAAAGGTTGTTCAGTGCGATGTATGGGTCTGGAACAGGGTACGATTCATCAGCTGTTACTTCATTTAGGGGTCTGAAGTCTTGGACCATGCGCCAGTTCTTCAAATCTGACTTCTTCACTGGAAATAGTGGGGTGTTATACTCTGATGTAGTTCCTCTTATAACACCTGCTTTCAACAGTCCTTCAATGGTTTGTGCGATCCCTTGCACTTGTTCTTGTTTCAAGGGGTATTGTGCTCTGTATACTGGAGTGTCAGTTGTCAGTTTGACTTTCACAACATGCGATGTGCATCCCACATCATTGGCATGTGTCATCCATATGTTAGCTGGGACTGCATCCAAGTATCGTTGAGCGTCTGGGTGATTCAGATTCAGATTCAGATTCATTTATTTGCCATTTGCAGTAAAACCACATTGGAAAAACTGTGCAAGACTACCCCGGTGTGCGCCAGACAGAGACGACACACACCAGAGCTCTTGCCACGGCGCCATCTTTTCCGGCGCCATGCGACAAACAGTAGAATAAACAGCAGAGAGCAATAACATACAGGTTACAACAGACAGTTGGATAGAAAACATTGTGCTTTGTATAAACCACGGATTTTTTTTCGGGATGAGCACCTACAGCAGCCGGCCCAATGTGGCTGTCAGAGGGGGGCGGGGTCAGGGAGGGGGTGAGCCGGAAACACAGTGAGGAGGGGAGGGGAGGGAGAGATCAGAGGGAGGCGGGGGGAGCGGGATCCAAGCTGGAACTGACTGAAAGAGTGTGAAATTGTTGTAGAGTCCAGATTTATTATGATGGCCTTGGCCCGAGGAATGTGAGATAAGAGTGGAGGGAAGACACAGCAAGGAGAAAAACACATCTTCCTGTAACGAGGGACAATATTGTATGCATTTTAGCAGTCAAAAACAGGCAGATATTCTATTAAATCCAATTAAACCGAATTGCGGCGCCCTCAGACCCCTTACACAGGGGCCAATCCAAGCCGGGTCAGAGAGTTCAAGCGTGACAAACAATGTCATTCAATCTCAATTCCAGAGTTTTATGCCCATCAAGTGAACGAGCTGCGAGATCTCTGATCAACTGTTCCACTAACACCACTCTTCTTTGTCCAGCCACAACGCTCTCAACCTCGACTCGGTTAAGCTCCTTGTACATCCCATCAATTTTGTTGGCCAGCAGGTCGTGAATCTTGCGAACTGCCATGCCTCCGAATTTATGGTAGAATAGAACCGCTCCAAGCCCAAACAGGAGGATCCCCACCACCAAAAAGCCAAGGATATATACGTCTTCCGAATCTTCAATGGACAGGGTCGACAGACAGAGGGGCTGCCACTTGTTCCAGCTGTCAAGCGTATACCCCGCTGGTGAAGTCCCGTCCGGGCACTCGGGCTCTCCAGACCCGCGCTTACGTGTTGAAAAGATAGAATCAATTGCGTTGAGGGACCAATTTACCATTTCCATTCTTGCTAAAAGTTGTCTGTGGCAAAACTATTTTGCAAACGTTCTGTGACGCGATTCCTTCAAAGCTCTGGTTATGTCCGTTGACCCGTCTGGCAGTGTGATCCTGAAAATGCCATGTTGTCCATTGTAGGACACTCCAGGGTTGTCGGTTGGTGCATATATCAAAGTGTTTGCCAACTTCACCATTGATCCAAGGGACTTTGCAGTATGGTACTTGGAAACGGCCAACGTCACATGTGGGTCCATGTCGGTTGTTTTGACATAATAGGGCTTCACTTCATCTGGAAGAGTCACAGACAGGGCCATGCCTTTGGGACCACAGTAGATGTATGGGTATGTTACATGGAATGTTTGCCCTTGCACATTGTCCCACAATTCTTCATAACTCTCATCTTCTTGAGTGGTACAGTACAGCGTGGCATGCAGTGGGTCAAACGGTTCTCTCAAGGGGAAATTGGATTTTGCCCATAGCTTGTATCGTTGCCAGAGTGTTGAGGCTGTATTACCATGCTCTGGATCCGTCAGTACTTGAAGCCAGTAGATATCGATAGGTGTCTTCAGATCTTCTGCGACATCTGGTGAGAGATACAATATCTGTGCATGCTTGTTTTTCTCCCAAGACCGTATTAGTTGCAATGTTTCAGGCTTGTTCATGAGTTTGTATCCTTCAGGGCAGAAGAATAGGGAGAAGGACAACTTGCACATCAGTTCACGGCCACACAGAGAGATGCCACAGTTTGGTAGATACAAAAAAGAGTGATGAACAGTTTCATGGTGTGATTTTACTTCCAATGGAACAGTAAATGGTTTGCTTTCAGGTTTCCCCACTCAGCCAGAGATGGACATTGATTCAGAGGACAGTGGAAACTTGTGTGTGATGCATGACACAGTTGCACCAGAGTCGACCATGAACTTGATCTCTCGTCCATTCACCTCGAGGACCACCATTGGCTCACTCCGCCAGTTGTGGAGTGAGTGGCTCTCTTGCTGTTGGCCCCGTCAATAAGAGCCTCCAGGCCCATCCTGGTACTGCGTGTACGAGTTTCCACGCATACTCATGTTTTGTTCTTGCGGGGGTGGGGGCTGTGGCATGTCATTGGGCGTCCACATCTGCTGCTGTCCGTTGTAGGATCCGGGAAATCGCGATTGGTTTTGTCGCTGCCCAAAAAATTGGTTCCGTGGTGGGCCATATCGCCCTATGTTGGCACAATCCCTTGACCAGTGTCCATATTGGTGGCATATCCAGCATTGATCTTGACGATTGCCTCTTTGTCCTTGAAATCCTCTCCCTCTACTCCTTCCTCTGGAGTTCCCCCTGTATCCTCTCTGAGCTGGTCTCTGTGTCAAAAGGAGCTTTACAACGTCCACCATCTGTTCAGCTTGCTCTTTTCCTTTTTGATTCTGGTCATTGTCCTCAACATTGACCTGTGATCCGTCCACTCCAACTTTCATCACATTTGCGGCCTTGTTTTTACTCTTTTGTGCTTCCACCTCTTCTTTAAGTTTCTTGTTTTGTAGCTTGATGTTAGACACCTCCACTTTTTGTGTTTCTTCTTTATTATTCTCTCTTTCATTTCGATAGAGGGTCACATAGTGGTTGCAGTTTTTATCAAAGTCTTCTTCGGTCAGTGTGTACAGTCCAACAACATGAGAAAGACTTTGTTGTACTGGTTTTGGCATTCCTTTGACCATTGTGTTGAACAGGATGAATGTACTTGTTGTTCCTGGTTGCACTGCTTCCCCAGTTGCATCATAGAATAAGGCCTTGGCTCTGCGCTTGTACTCAAAGTACTCTTCATCTTCTTTCATCTTCAGCGAAAGTAATTCTTCTGGAACGCATGTTTGAAACATTTCTCTCAGAATTGACAGCAGTGGTCCTTTCATGGTGGTAAAGGACAGAGTATGGTTGAATGGTCCAATGCGTTTTGTTAGCTCCGCCCGTACTTTCTTGGTAGTGGCTTCATCAGTATTTCTGGTGATTATAGAAGAGACGTCTCCCCAGCACAATATTTCACCAGCTGTGTGCGTCGTCAGTGCCCTCATAAATGCAGGTGCTCCTTTTGTCAGCTTTGGCAATTTCAGCATTAGTCCTTCAATGTCTTTCAATGCAAATGGCTGATACACTTGCTGGCGACCCGCAGCCTGTCTTAGTGGAAAGAGAGAGGTTGTTGCTCTTCCCGCTTCATCTTCTTCTAGCAGTGAGTGATTTGGGTCAAAAAATGGGTTGACATGCCCACTCACGAAGGCTCCCTCATGCTGTTGGTCTTCGACCAGGCCGGTAAACTCCCCTGCAACATAGTGGTCTCTTGTCTCTGGACGGAAGGGGTTGTGGCCTGTCCTCAGTCGGTTCTCTATGCCTCTTCTTATATGCATTTCACGACTGGTTTGGGTGTGCTTTGGTTCTTTGTCCATTAAACAAATGAGTTCTTCTTTTTCTTTGTTCATGTTTTGCATTGTCTTGGTCTTTGACTTCCTCCATATTTCTTCTTCTTTTTTCCGCAGTTGAGGAATCCCCACTTCTTCATGTTCATCTTCTTCAGAGGTTTGGTTGTGAACACTTTGTGCTTGTTGACTGACCAGTGCTGTCAGTGTCTTGACTTGTTTCGCTAGTTCTTGCACATCTTCACAATCGCCTCTGGATGGAACCATAGAGAGGGTGCCACCCAACACTGTGTGTTCAACTGGTTCTGGGAAATCTTCTTGGGCTGTGGCTTTTGGGAGTTCCACTTGTGTGTATTCTGGTCTTGCAGATCTCTTGAAACGAGGGGGGGAACATGGAGTTGACGATGAATACTGGGTACTCAAGTCCTTTAGTGACCTGCTCAGTTGCTTGTAGCTGTGCTTCTCCTTGTGATATGCTTCCATGTCTTCAGGCTCGGAAGCCGGGTACAGAAGTTCATCATTTATCCGTGGAAGAGGCGTCTGGGTCTCCCTCATGAGCATTTTTCCTTTAATTCTTCTTCTCTGAGTAGCTTCAACATCACACTCCTCCTCCGTATCATCATGGAGGTCCTTGTACACGGTACCAGACCTGAGGCGTCCTGGGTCTGCAGAATGTGCCTCCTGAGTTTTCAGCGTCACCGACTTCTTTCTCTGCTTGTATGGTTGATCCTCTTGAGTGCCCTCCTTCAGGACAAGGATACGTGTCATTTTTCGTTCTTCACATTTTTCGGCAATCTTCTTCGCAATGTCATACAGCTCCAATGCGAAGTTCTTCAGCTCCTCATGCTTCCTGATCTTTGCTTCATCAGTCACGTAGCCTCTTCTGGTGAGTACTGGATGGGTGCGATGATGCAATACTTTGCCTTGGTGATATTGTGAAATGTTTTCCCATTGCTTTTTGGTCGGAGCCAGGGCATCTTCGCCACGAGAAATTAGTTTCTTCGCTGCATACTTTTTGAACAGCTTCTTCATCAGTAAAATCTTTCTTTGTTCTTCCTTTAATGGCTCTTCCTTGATGTGTATGTAATGTTCTACCTCCCTCAGAAATGTGTCCATCTTCATGAAAGACATTGTTTTTTGCAAAAATCAAAATAAAATAACGTAAAATAAAATAAAATAAAGAGTGAAAATAAAAAGGATGCCAAAATAAACTCAACACCAAGGCAAAAGGTGGAGAAAAATAAAATAAATAATAATAAACAAAACAAATGAAAAGTTAAAAAATTAAATAAAAAATCCAAAATCCAGAACAAAAATAAAAATAAAAATACAATGTAAATAAAATAAAATATGGTTTCCAAGTACACTGTTTTTGGGGACCAAAACTTAATTGAACGGGAAATGTTGACTCAAATTGTGACTGGAAAATCAAACAGACAAAAACCAAAATGTGTATTATTTGTAAAAAAAAAACAAAAAAATGAAAAGTGATTTAAACTACTATATAAAATAAAATAAAATAGAATAGAGCCCAGCTAGACTGGATTTTGTATGGGTATGGTCAACACAAAACGCAAACAAACTGACCGACGCGCAAGACTGGCACTGATATTATTCGCTTTTAAAACAAAACAAAACCATTATTCCCGTTATTTGATAAACCAAATGCTAATAAATGCTCCTTGTATTTGCATTTATTTATTTGAATGTGACAGTATTGAAACTGGAATTTATGCAAAATAAAGGTTATTAAGTGTCAAAGTAGAAAATACACTTCTTTTTATTCAATTATTATTTTTTATTCTACACTGATCTTTGAAAATGTGGAAAATACAACTGTGCTTTGTGTAGAAAATGCACCCGCGGGAAAGAGCTGTTTTATTATGGAAGCCAAAACAAAACAAAATGACTAAAGATTCAACAGTTTTTGGGATTAAAGTCAAAAAGCAATTTAAGTTCTATATTCTACCCACTTCAACATTTAGATTAGCAATTATTGTTCAACTGTGTTTAAACCTAAAATGAAAACAAATCAAAAATGAAAGAATAAAAATAAAACTCTGATGCCGTACGGCAATGCAATTTTGGCCTGGACCGTACTTTCTCAAAACAAACCTAACCAGAAGATGCCAGAGTACTTTGAAATAAACTGTAGCGTTTACTTTTCTAACTCAATGCTTTGAATTCTAAAAACCATAAATGAATGCAGAAAAATAATTTGTAAAGCCTTGTATCTACATATAATAAAAATAGCTGAAGTGCAGAAAGAGAAACAGCCGACAGAAAAATACCAACAGTTCGGGCACCGAATAATAGCAGAAATAACTTGATATTCTTTTTTTTTTTTTTTAAACAGTTCGAATTATCGCTCACAAAAATATATTTTTGATACAGTGAGCCAAAAATGTAGCCAAATGCAAAGTGTATATTTCAAGAATTGCCAGATTACAAAAAATAAATTCTAAAATTTGGAGTTAAAAACAAGAAAAATAATATTATTAATAATAAAAATAAAATGGAATATGTAAGTGAACACGTTTTTTTTAGATGCACACAAACGAATAGAAACAGATTATTGTATTTTGAGAAGCGGCAGGTGTTTTGGAGCCGTTCCCGCACTCCCACGCGCTCACGGCTGGACTTTGAAAAAACGCATGCAAGAATTCCCACAACCAAGCGAAAAGGGGAAACATTTAAAGTAGGGCTGTCCAAAATAGCGCGTTATTAACGCGTTAACGCAAATCAATATTAACGCCGTCATTTTTTTTATCGCGCAAAAAAAAAAAAAAAAAAAAAAAAGATTTTTTTTTTTTTTTTTTTTTTTTTACTTTTTATTGCAGACAAACACATATACAGAAAAAAAAATAGAAACAAAGAAAAGGACTAGTTCAGATACATTGTAGACAGAGATTACAAACAATATGTAGTTGGAGATACAGGGGGCCAAAGAAGAAACCCAGAAGGGCACATAGGAGGGACGGGGGGGACATGAAGTGGGAGATGGGGGGAGGGGTTAATAAAAAAGGCAATACAAGCAAACAGTATACAGTCATAGATATACCGAAGGTAAACAGAGAAACAGCATAGAGTATTTACATGAACAAATTTACAAAATATTTACAGATTGTTTATCATCATCATAATGACACCATGATGTTTCTATACAGTCTATGGTCTATACCCACACATACACACACACACCCACACACACACATTGAAGGGGCTTTTTGTTACCAATTATTTATTTTGTCATCCATTTATTGATGATTTTGCATCAAATGTTAGTGTGTAATATAACACTACACATTGTTTTCAATAAAAAAGCAATTGCACACAGCACGCAAATGTGTGACTAATTTGCGATTAATCGCGAGTTAACTATGAAATTCATGCGATTAATCGCGATTAAATATTTTAATCGTTGGACAGCACTAATTTAAAGATTTAATGCATTGCTGTTATTTACCAATATTCTTTCAGACTAAAAAGTCAATATTCATGCACTTTTAACAAGGATGCCTTAATTATTTCAACTATGTGTTTTTGTAATGGGAGGACATAGGAATCACACAAACTCTTACAACCAATTTAAACGATATAACAGCAATGCAAAAGTAAAAGCAAGATCAGAGCGAGAAATTCGAAGAATATGGTGAAGCGTTCTTAGTTCTACAACTATGAAAAATAAACATAAGATAAAAATAAAAATGAACAAGCCAAATCTGTTGAGTACTTGCGTTAAAAGCTTTCTAAAACCCAAAATTTAAACTCTAATTTACACAAATTTAACGGGAGAAGATGAGAGAGAAGACAAACTACACATCTGCATGCAGTGTCTAATTTTAGACCCGAAACAGGTTGCCGTGTGGGAGCAAGAAAGCCGTCGGCAAGGCGACGCGCAGTCACACACACTCCCAGAGGGCAATGAAAAAATACGTAACAGTAAGATTTGAAAACTTGTTTAGCTTCAAAAGGCTTTTCGTAAAAATGTTAGATACTATCTGAACCGAAACCAAAATACATAAACAAAAGTTTAGCTGGAAATAAAACTCTGCATCTTTTGGTGAGCTCTGTCCAGGCACAAAATCCAAAACTCCCTTTTTCTATATGCAGTTTTAAACTGTGATTACTGATATATAACAGATGTTATTGCTTCAACTTTTGTCACTCATTAAACTTGAAATTGGCCAATTTCAAGACTTTTGCAACAAAGGTCCCTGCACTTGCTTTTACTCTCTTTTTATGTTTATTTATTTTTTATACCATGGTTTCATTAACTACTCCGGCCGTAACTGCTATTTTATCGAGGTAGCAACCTGTTTTGATCATTTAAACTGCCATTTTATCGAGGTGGCGGACCTGATGATCAATTAAACTGCCCTTTTATCGAGGTGGCGGACCTGATGATCAATTAAACTGCCATTTTATCGAGGTGGCGGACCTGATGATCAATTAAACTGCCATTTTATCGAGGTGGCGGACCTGAATCTTACCTAATCCGATCTATATAGATATGGTATTTGGCGGACCTCAAAACAGACCATAATTTGGTTCACTCAATTAGCAGACTTTGAATAAACAGGTGTCCGCTCTTACCTTTTGTCGAACAGGGCCCAGGCACAGTCAAAAGTCCACCAAATTTCAGCTTTTCCACGTCCAACCCGGGGTCTCCAGATCATGAACCAGCGCTCACTAGTACCGGGAACTAGTTTCCATCGGCAGAGACCAATCACCCGTCAGAAATCCCTGGAATACGGACATGGAAAAACAAATTTAAACGCTTTGTCAGTCCAAAAAAGAGGACTCAAAAAAAATATAGTGAGAGAGCAAAAAAAGCCCCGGAATCGTCACCTCTCCAGCCTGCTGGATAGCACCCAACTCCAGATGCTCTCAGCTCTCTCACGCTGAAAAAAAAACTTTCTCAAAACAGCCGGGGCAGAGTCGCATTCAGCACCGCATTCCTCCACCACCTGAAGATAATCAGACTCAGGCAAAACGGGATCTTTGTACGACAAAGCCTCCTGGCTGGTTTATTCACAAAATGGTCGTTAATTTTCAGACAGAACAAAAGACACAGATACATTATATATGGAAATCTACGTCATCATAGAAAAGGCCAAACCTTCGGCACCAAATAGCCTAAACAACGAAAGTCTCTGTGGTCCTTGAGACCTCCACAAGGCCAGGTTATTAATACTATTTTGTCTTGCATTTGTCCACCTGTGCAGTACATAGGTCACTGTTTACCACAGAACCTATATCCATAATCATTTATATACTGAACCTATATCCATAATCATTTATATATGAACCTATATCCATAATCATTTATATACTGAACCTATATCCATAATCATTTATATACTGAACCTATATCCATAATCATTTATATACTGAACCTATATCCATAATCATTTATATACTGAACATATATCCATAATCATTTATATACTGAACCTATATCCATAATCATTTATATACTGAACCTATATCCATAATCATTTATATACTGAACATATATCCATAATCAGATCCTCTGCAGATGTGTCCTATATTGTTCATTTCATGATAATAGCTTCTTCCGGGTTTGCCACGATTAGTAAGTAATCTAGTAATCTTTATTTATATACCGCCTTTTCACTGCACATCGGAGTCTCAAAGCGGTTTACAATTGTTATTTTTTGGGAGTGGGGGTGCCAGTACAGGAGGCACATGCCAGACCTATTGTACATATTTTTAGTGGTAGGGGAAACCGGAGCACCCGGAGGAAACCTACGCAGACACGGGGAGAACATGCAAACTCCACTCAGAAAGGCCCTGGTCCAACCGGGATTTGAACCCAGGACCTTCTCGCTGAGAGGCGAGAGTGCTATCCACTCAGCCACCGTGCCGCCCACATTTTTTGTGCACTAAAACACTATTTTTTTCATTAGAACGTTAACAAATAATTCTGAAAACCTCCGTGCATGTGTATTAATAATGTATATTTATAATATGACCCATCAGAAAGGAAGGGGGAGGAGCTTGTGTCG